CTGCTGCTGCTGCGGCGGCTGCTGCTGCTGCCATTGCTGCTGCTGTTGCGGCGGCGGCGGCAGCAGCTGCTGCTGCGGCGGCTGCTGCTGCCGCCATTGCTGCTGCTGCTGCGGCAGTGGTCGCTGCTGCTGCGGCCGCTGCTGCTGCTGCGGCTGCTGCTGCTGCTGCGGCTGCGGCGGCTGCTGCAGCATTTGGCGCTGGGCATGCGATGTTTCTTTCTCAAGCTGCTGCACCTGAGACTCCTGCTGCTGCTGCTGCTGCTGCTGCTGCTGCCGCTCTTGCTGCTGCTGCTGCTCCGGCTGCAGCGGCAGCTTCTCCTGCACGAGGGCCAGCAGTTCCCGCAGCAGCAAATCGAGCTTCTGCTGCTTAGTGACATATTCATGTGCTGCTTGCAGCTCAAGTGCTGCAGCACATGCTGCAGGACTTTTGCTGCTGACGCTGCTTCTGCTGCTGCAGCTGCCGCTGGCTGGTTCTGCTGCAGCGCTGCACAGCGGGTCTGCTGCTGCCTTTGCAGCTGCTGCTGCTGCTGCTGCTGCTGCAGTCATGGCAGTACTTCCTGTCGCTTGTAAAGTGTGCTGCCACTGCAGCTGCTCCCGTTCCTGCTCTAACTGCTGCTGCTGCTGCTGCTGCTGCTGCTGCAGAGCGTGTTGCTGCAGCTTCCATGCAGTCTTACGCATAAGTGCATCAAGTGAGTTTGCTTCCACCTTATTGTCTTTTTCTTGCCCCTGCTGCTGCTCCTGTTCCTGCTGCTGCTGCTGCTGCTGCCGCTGCTGCTGCTGCTGCTGCTGTTGCTGCCACAGCTGCTGCTGCTGCCCCCGTTGCTGCTGCTGCGCCTGCTGCTGCTGTCCCTGCTGCCGCTGCTGTCCCAGCTGCTGCTGCGGCTGTCCGTGCTGCTGCTGCTGCTGCTGCTGCGGTAAGAAGTTCTCATGTTCTGGTGGCAGTGTCTCTGGAGGGGAATCTGCTGCAGCCGCTGCTGCTGCAGCACTTGCTGCAGCACTTGCTGCAGCACTTGCTGCAGCACTTGCTGCAGCACTTGCTGAAGCACTTGCTGCAGCACTTTTGCTGGAGGCCTCTGTTACTTCTGTTGCTGCTGCGATCGCAGCAGGGCCTCGTATTGGTGCTGCTGCTGCTGCTGCTCTTGCAGGCGCTTTCGCTGCTGCTGCTGCTACTGTTGCTGCTGCTGCTGCTGCTGCAGGAAGTTCGCGGTGCTGCAGGCTTGAGAGTTGCATTTCCTGCCGTTCTGCTTCTGCTGCTCCTGCTGCTGCTTCTTGCGTTGCTTCTGCTGCTGCTGTTGCTGCTGCTGCTGCTGCTGCAGTTGCTACTATCTTACGGCAAATGAACCCTGAGGCGAAAGCACACAGCCCTGCAAAAGGCGCAGCTCCCAACCCCAAACCCTAAACCCTAAACCCTAAACCCTAAACCCTAGATCCCAGATCATGTGAGTCATTTGAAAAGATTTGCATGGCTCTCACTGCGTGGATATCCTAAACCCTAAACCCTAAACCCTAAACCCTAAACCCTAAACCCTTAGGCCGCTGCTCGCAACCCACCTCTCCAGGCCCGCTGGATGGCCGCAGCAGCCTCGTGCTGCAGCTGCTGCAGCGCAGCAAACGGGGGAAGAGCAGAAGCTCTGTATTCGCCGTAGCAAATGCTGCTGCTGCTGCTGCTGCTGCTGCTGCTGCTGCTGTGGCTGCTGCTGCGGCTGCTACTGCTGCTGACCTGTGTGCGCCGGTTGTGCTGTAAATCCAGCTGTGTTGCTTCCTTATGGGAAAGCCGGCTCTGCTGCTGCTGCTGCTGCACTTGCTGCTGCTGTCCTTGCTGCTGTTGTTTCTGCTGCTGCTGTCGATGCTGCAGCTGCATGCGTTGCTGCTGCTGCTGCTGCTGCTGCAGGATGCATTGCTGCTTGTGTGGCTGGGGCCGAGCTGATAGGTGCTGCTGCTGCTGCTTGTGCTGCTGCAGTTGCACGTGTGTCAGCTGCTGTTGCTTGGGCTGCTGCTGCTTGTGCTCTTGCTGCTGCTGCACGTGCTCTTGCTGCTGCTGTTGCTGCTGTTGCTGCTGTTGCTGCTGTTGCTGCTGTTGCTGCTGTTGCAGGATAGAGGCCCTTGGCCTTGCTGCACTTTCTTTGCGCGTTTGTGTCTGGAGCGACCTGCTGGATTGCTGCAGCAGCAGCTGCCGCTGCTGCAGTTGCTGCTGTTGCTCCTGCAGCTGCTGCTGCAGCTGGAGCTGCTTCTGCTGGCCCTGCTGCTGCCAGTGCTGCAGCAGCTGCTGCTGCTGCCGCCGCTGCTGCTGCTGCAGATGGCGCGCAAGGCGCATGCGTCTTTCCTCAGAGAGTTTCCTTAGGTTTTCTTCTCTCTGTCTTCTTTGCTGCTGCTGCTGCAGCAGCAGCTGCTGCTGCTGCTGCAGTTCCTGGTGTACAGACACAGGCGCCTGCCGCTGCTGCCGCCTCAGGACACCTTTGCTGCTGCAGTGGCCGAGGCTGCCCGTTGCAGCAGCAGCAACCCTTGCGTGCTGCTGCTGCTGCTGCTGCAGCATTTGCTGCTGCGTTTGCTGCTGCGCATGCTGCTGCGCTTGCTGCTGCACTTGCTGCTGCGCTTGCTGCTGCGTTTGCTGCTGCGCTTGCTGCTGCGCTTGCTGCTGCGCTTGCTGCTGCGCTTGCTGCTGCGCTTGCTGCTGCGCATGCTGCTGCGGAGACTGCTGCTGCTGCGGCTGCTGCTGCCTCCGCGGGGGCAAAGAGGAGTCGACTCGAGGGGGCTGCTGCTGCTGCTGCTGCTGCTGCTGCTGCTGCTGGTGCGTTTGTGGCGGTATCGGTGTCTGCTGCAGCGCTGTGGCCCTAATTGAGGCCCTGCTACCTTGCTGCTGCTGCTGCTGCTGCACTTGCTGCTGCTGCTGCTGCTGCTGCAGTTGCTGTTGCTGCTTTTGCTGCTGCTGCAGGGCAAAGCTGGGGCTGTAGTCATCCTCACTCTGCCAATGCTGTTCCTGCATCCGCTGCTGCTGCTGCAGTTGCGGCTGCTGCAGCACGTGCTGCTGCTGCTTCAGCGCCTGCTGCTGCTGCTGCTGCTGCTGTGTGTCTTCAGCGCTCTGCTGTTGCTGCTCACTCAATTGCTGCTGCAGCGCCTTTTGCTGCTGCTTCAGCTGCAGCCTCTGCATGCGCAGTCGCTGCAGCAGCAGCAGCTGGTCTTGCTGTCCCCACTGCTGCTGCTGCCCTTGTGGCTGCTGCTGCTGCAGCTGCTCCTGCTGCTTTTCTTTTGCTGCACCCCAGCTATCTTCTGCACTGCTGCTGCTGCTGCTGCTGCTGATTTGCGTGTGCCCCTCCCGCAGCAAATCTGTCATGGGGGTTCCCCGATGCTGCTGCTGCTGCTGCTGCTGCTGCAGCAAGTGCTGCACCTGAAGCTGCTGCTGTTGCTGCAGCTGCTGCTGCTGCAGGACGCCGCCCTGGACTTGCTGCTGCATATGTGCATATTCCTCTCCTCGCCTGGTAGGGGAAAGGCCTAAACCTCCTGACTTGCTGCCCCCCTGCTGCTGCTGCTGCTGCTGCTGCTGCAGCTGCTGCTGCTGCTGAGGTATTTCCCCACATCCTGCGAGCCTTTGTAGGATTTGCTGCTGCTGCTGCCGCAGCTGCATGCGTCTCTGCTGCAGCAGCAGCAGGAGGTTCTCTTCATCGTTTCCTTGCTCGCAGTGCAGTCCCTGCTGCTGCAGCTGCTGCCGCAGCTGCTGCTGTTGCAAATGCTGCTGCTGCAGTTGCTGCTGCTGCTGCTGCTGGCGCGGGCGTGCCATAGCAAAGGTCTTTCCACAAACAGTTTTGCTGCTGCTGAGCAGCAGCCGCGCAGCAGGCTGCTGCTGCTGCGGCGACCCCTGCTGCAGCTCTTGCTGCGGCTCCATTGCCGCTGCTGCTGCTGCTTCCGTCCCCGCCCTGCTGCAGTCGTTCCTGCTGCTGCTGCTGCTGCTGCACTGAGTGCAGGCTTCAGCTGACTTGCTGCATTCTCAGCGTGTTGAACTGCGGCTGCTCTGCTGCTGCTGGTGCTGCAGCTGCCACGTTGTTGCTGCTGTTGCTGCTGCAACCGCTGCTGCAGCTAATGCGCAAGCTGCTGCTGCTGCTGCTGCTGCTGCTGTTTTGCTGCTTGTTTCGGCCGTCGCCGTTGGCGCTGCTGCGGCGTGCCTTTCAGCAGCGCTGGCTGTGGCTGCTGGTATTGCTGCTGCTGCAGCTGCTGCTGCTGCTGCTGCTGCTGCTCTTCTGCTGCTGCTGCAGTGGGCTGCTGAGGAGCAGCGGCTGCATCGCCGCCGACGGCTGCGGCGCCCCCCAGTTTCAGGTGTATAGGCAGCTCCCGGACTCGCGGGGGGTCATTTGTTTTTAATTTTGCAAATTAGAGTTTTAAAAATCAATTTTAATGCATTAAAGCAGCAATAAAGGAGCAGCAGGAGCAAAAGAGACGCTGCTGCTGCTGCTGCTGCTGCTGCTGCAGCCCCAGGTGTTGCAACCACCCGATCCCCCCTGCTGCAGCAGCTGGGGGGTCCAGGGGGCCCCCCGGCGCCCAGGGGCCCCCGGGGGCCCCCCAAAGCCCCTGTACTTGTGCTCATTCTCTCGTGCATCTAATTAGAAATAAAAAAAGAAATAAAAAAGAAATAAAAAAGAAAATGCGATAAAAGAAAAGAGAAATGCATGCGAGGTGTCTGTACACTCGGTGAGCCGCTGCATGCATGCACACCCGCTGTCGGCAGCAAGGTCACTGGGGCCCCTCTTCATTTCTTTCTTTTCTTTTATTTAATTTAAATTTAATTTTTAAAATATAAATACATTTGAGCTGCAGCAAACGCAGCAGGCCGCTTCAGCAGCTCTTCTGGCCCTCGCGCACTGCGCACACGCCCAGCAGCAGCAGCAGCAGCAGCGCCAGCAGCAGCAGCAGCAGCAGCAGCAGCAGCAGCAGCAGCAGCAGCAGCAAACCTTCACCCGGGGACCGCGCCTCTCTAGAGGACGCCCCTGGCGTCTCCGGCCTTCTTGGAGTGTGTGCACCCGCCCCTGCTGCTGCTGCTGCAGCTGCTGCTGCTGCTGCTGCTGCTGCTGCTGCTGAAAATGGCTGAATCAAAGCAAGCCCCAGGCAGCGCCCTCATCGAGTGGGCCCTGCAAAAAGTCTTTGCTGCTTTTGCTGCTAAAAAGCAAGCTTGGTTGAAGTTCAAGACTACCTTCGAAGCAGATGAGGCTAGCATGTAAGCAGCAGCAGCAGCAGCAGCAGCAGCAGCAGCAGCTATGTTAGCGACAAAACGGCCGCTGCGGCAGCACTTGGATGTGCTGCTGCTGCTGCAGCTGCTGCTGCTGCAGCTGCGCGGCGCTAGCGATAGTGACACGGTAGCAGCAGCAGTAGAAGCAGCAGCAGCAGCAGCGGCAGCTGTAGCTGTAGGGGAAGCAAGAGAAGCTGGATAGCAGCGTTAGCAGCAGCAGCAGCGCTAGCAGCAGCAGCAGCAAGGCAGCAGCAGCAAGGCAGCAGCAGCAAGGCAGCAGCAGCAAGTGCTCACAGGGCAAAGACAAATAAAGCAAAAAGACAAAAAACACAAAAGAGAAAGCAGCAAAAAAGATCAGCAGCAAAATGTCTACAAAACGAACAGCACAAATGCTACAAATAAACAAATAAATAAAAGAAAAAAAACGAAACAAAACATCAAAAAAAAGAATAAACTTTTCGCCTTTTCGCACCAATACATGTTGTATGTAAAGCTGCTTTTGCATGCAGTGCATGCAAAAGTTGAAAAATAAGCAATTTAATTAATTAATTAATTAATTAACTAATTAATTAATTAATTAATTAATTAATTAATTAATTAATTAATTACAATATATATAGGCATTAAGGATTTAGGGTTTCAACTGGCAAAAATAATCCCCGGCTGCATGCGCAGCACTTGTTGAAGTTTGGGGCTTTTGTGTCACTACACCGGAACGCATGCAGCAATTAAAACAAAAAAGAATTTAAAAACAAATTAATTGCAATTATATATTTGCGGATATAAAAAGATAAAAAGAACTCATTAAAGTCGCAAAGCAGAATTGCTGAAGTGTCCACGCGCGGGCAGCTGGGGTGTACGTACACTCCAATTGTGCGCCTTTGCATGCAAAATGCTTTTGCATTTCAAGTTTCAATTAAATGCAAATTTGCAAGTTCATTTATTTGCATATTTATATTTAAATTGGATTTAAAGATTTGTAAAACTGAACATTTAAGAAACGCCCATTTGCAAATTGTCGGTGGCGCGAACTGCTGAGGTGTACGTACACCTGAATACAAACACGACTTCGAATTCAACTTTTACTTTTATTTCACAAACTGCGAAAAAACTCAAAAAAGGCTCAACAGCTCGAATTGCAAACATATTTAAATGCAAAATAATTCAAATAAATAAAAATAAAAACAAAAATGAAGAATTTTGGATTATTTCCGGAACACAAGCACTGCAGCGCTGTGTACGTACACCTGAATGCGCATGCAAAAAGGGCAAACGCATGCATTTAATTCACTTATTATTTTTGCTGCTGCTTAGCAGCAATAATAATAAGTGAATTAAATGCATGCAAATTAAATGCTGCATGCATTTAATTTATTTATTTCTAAAAACAAATTTGCTGCTGCTCAGCAGCAAATAAGCAGCAGCTGGATTTGGGGGTATTTCTTTTAATAAACTTATTTGCACTTTTACACTTCAAATTTATATATTTATTTTATTATTATTATTATTTTTATTATTTATTTATTTATTTATTTATTTATTTATTTACTTATTATTTATTTTTATTTATTTATTTTTTTTGTTTTTTCTCTTAGGCGTTCTGCGCGGATCTTCTTCGCTGAAAATGACGCGGGGCCTCTCATGTTTCTAATGGGGGCCACAAACGAAACTGCTGCTGCTGCACTGGTGCAGCAGCAGCAGCAGCTGCTGCAGCAGCTGCAGCAGCAAGGCAAGCGCAAGGCTTTGCTGCTCATTAGAGTAAATACGCAGGTCGAACTCAATAAGGTAATCTGCTGCTGCTGCTGCTTCTGTGCTGCAGCTGCTACCGTTGCAGTTTTGCTGCTCTTTTTGCTGCTGCTGCTGCTTGCAGGCTGCCACTTTTGCTGCGATTCCTACTGCTGCTGCTGCTTGCAGGCTGGCACTTTTGCTGCGTTTCCTGCTGCTGCTGCTGCATGGCTGCTGCTGCTGCTATTGCTACTACTTGTTGCTGTGCTGTTGGCGTGGTGGAGCTGCTGCTCGTTTGTTGCTGTTGCTGCTGCTGCTGCAGCTCCATCGTTTACGCTTCATCATTGGTGTTTGCGCTGCAGCTAGTTCTGCTGCTGCTGCTGCTGCTGCTGCTGCTCCCCTTCCTTCTTCTTTTCCTGCTCCACTGGTTTAGTGCTGCTGCTGCTTCTGTTGTTGCCAATGCTGCTTCTGCTGCTACTATATTGAGCCGTTGCGGTTGCTGCCTGTGCTGCTCTTGCTGCTGTTATTGCTGCTGCTGGTTTGATTTAGGTCTTGCTTCTACTTATCCTGCTGCTGCTGCTGCTGCTGCTCCCGCCGCTGCTTTTGCCTTTGCTGCTCCTCCTGCTGCTGCTGCTGCTACCTTGGTGTTGGTGCCTTTGCTCTGCTGCTGTTGCTGCTGCTGCTGCCTTTGCTGGTGCTGCTGCCTTCTCGGTTCCGCTTCTACGGGGATTCTGCTGCTGCTGTTGCAGTTCCTGCTGCTACAGCTGCTGCTGCTCTTCTTTTCTCAGATTGCTGCAGTTTATTTGCTGCTGCTGCTGCTGTTTCTGCTGCTGGGGTGCTGGCGTGCTCCTGTTGCTGGTTGTGTTGGGGATGTTCCGGTGTTAATGTTGCTGCTGCATTTTCTGCTGCTGCTGCTGCCATATTTGCTGCTGCTGCTGTTTTTGCTGCTGCTGCGGACTTGGCATTGGTGCTGTTATTGTCGCTGTTGTTGCTGCTAACGTGTTGCTGCTGTTGCTGCTAACGGTGCTGCAGCTGCCTTCATCATTGTTGCTCCCAGAATGTGCTATTGGCGCTGCTGCTGCTGCTGCTGCTGCTGCTGCTGCTGCTGCTGCTGCTGCTGCTGCTAGTGGCTCCGCGTTGATGTATTTGCTGGCGCTGCTGCTGTAGTTCTTGCTGCTGCTGCTGCTGCTGCTGCTGCCATGGCTGTTTTGCTGCTGCTTCCACAGCTTTGCTGCCAACGCCTGACGCAAAAAGCAACCCTAGCCATAACCCAAATCATTTACTTATTTATTTATTTATTTATTTATTTATTTATTTATTTATTTATTTATTTATTTATTTATTTATTTTATAATTTATTTATTTATTTATTTATTTATTTATTATCAGGATAATGTTGACAGCTGTCTGACGGCCATGGAGATTTGCCCCAACATTCTGCAGCAAATGGATTTGCTGTGTCGCGACATTTACTTCCAGGCCATTTGCAGAGTGGCTCAGCAGGTGCTGCTGCTGCTGCTGCTGCTGCTGCTGCTGCTGCTGCTGCTTAGTCCTGCTGCTTCTGCTGCTCCTGCTCAGTCCTGTTTCTGCTGTTACTGCTGCTGCTGCTTAGTCCTGCTGCTTGTGCTGCTCCTCCGCAGTCCTGTTATTGTTGTTGCTGCTGCTGCTGCTGCTTAGTCCTGCTGCTTTTGCTGCTCCTGCTTAGTTCTGTCGTTGTTTTTTTGCTGCTGCTGCTGCTGCTTAGTCCTGTTGCTGCTGCTGCTCCTGCTTAGTCCTGTCGCTGCTGCGGCTGCAGCTGTTTAGTCCTGTCGTTGCTGCTGCTGCTGCTGCTGCTCCTGCTTAGTCCTGCTCCTGGAACTGGTGCTGCTCAAGCTTAGTCCTGTTGCTGCTGCTGTTGCAGCTCCTTCTTAGTGCTGCTGCTCGGTCCTGTTGCTGCTGTTGCTGCTGCTACTGCTCCTGCTTAGTCCTTTTGCGGCTGCTTGTGCTGCTGCTGCTTAGTCCTGTTGCTGCTGCTGCTTCTACTTAGTCCGTTTGCTGTTGCTGCTGCTGGCGGCGCTGCTGCTGCTGCTGCTTCAGAGCTGCTGGCAAAGCCACAGACACTCTCAAGAACTTCTCAAGCAGCAGCTGCTGCAGCAGCAGCAGTTGGTGACAACAAAGACAAACAGCTGCTGTGCACACGCTCACTTCTAGCGTTTAGGGTTTAGGGTTTAGGGTTTAGGGTTTAGGGTTTAGGGTTTAGGGTTTGTACGTGCAGACCTCCCCTTTTAACGGGAGTTTCACTAGCCAGGACGTGCTGCAGAAGTACAGCAGCTACTTGTCTTTGCTGTCAGCAACTGCTGCTGCTGCTGCTGGCCGCTCCGTGCTGCCGCAGCCGCAGCAAGAAGCAGCAGCAGCAGCAGTTGCTGCTGAAGTCAAAACAAATGAAAAAGTTCATATTTATGAGCAGCAGCTGCTGCTGTGGACCAAACAGATCCGGGCCGTGCTCGAGCGCAACCCAGCGCAGCCCCTGGCTGAAGGTAAAAGTTTATTTTTATTTTTATTTTATTTTTATTTTTATTTATTTATTTATTTATTTATTTGTTTATTTATTTATTTATTTATTTTATTTTTATAATTTAATTGGGGTTTATTTGGCACTTGTCGCGGTGCAGCTCAAGCAGCGCGGATGCCTTGCGCAAATGCTTCGGGCTTTCTCGTTGCTGCTGCTGTTGCTGCTGCTGCTGTTGCTGCTGCCAGCCCTGCTGCTGCTTCTGCTGCTGTCGCTGCTGCCAACTTTACCGCTGCTGCTGCTGCTGTTGCTGCTGCTGCTGCTGCTGCTGCTATTTCTGCTGGTATTGCTGTAGCCACTCCTACCGCTGTTTCTGCTGCTGTTGCTGCTCCCAGCGTTGCTGCCACTGCTGCTGCTGCTGCCACTGCTGCTGCTGCTGCTGCTGCTGCTGCTGCTGCTGCAGGCCGCAACCCGGAGCCGAACGAGGAAATAGAGTTTTGGGTCGACCGCGCAGCCGCGCTGCAGTTCCTAAGCCAGCAGCTGCAGCAGGACTATGTGCAGCAGCTGCTGCAGTTCCTGCAGCAGGAAGGCAGCAGCTACACTCCTGCCTTTAGTTCTCTGATTCAAGCAGTAGAGACTGCCAAGGCTGAGGCGGAAGAAAACGCCAAGTACTTGTCGGTCCTTGAGCCATGGTAAACCCTAAACCCTAAACCCTAAACCCTAAACCCTCAGCTGCAGGCATTCGAAGCTGCTGCCAGTGCTGCTGCAGGCCCTAGGCAGCAACAGCTCAGTCTGCATTCCCTCGCGCTCCACGCCCTCTCCAGCCTGCTGCGGCGCCCAACACCCAAACCCTAAACCCTAAACCCTAAACCCTAAACCCTAAACCCTAAAGGAGGAGCTGCGCTGCTGCAGGGTGAAGAAGCTGATGGACGAGACGGCGGAGCTGGGGGCTGTGGAGAGTGTGTTTGCTCCTTTGTTTGAACTCATTTGGTTGATTTATTTTAATTCCAAAAGCTACAACAAACCCTCGAGACTGGTGGTTTTGGTGCGGCAAGTCAGCAGCGCAGTCATTGCCCAGGCCCTCCGCTTCGTCAACGGCCAGGAGGTCTTCAAGCTGCTGCAGCAGGGAGAAGCGAAAGAAGCAGCAGACAAACTCGCTGCTGCTCTCGAGGTGAAGGCCCCTTGCTGCTCTTGCTGCTGCTGCTGCAGCAGCCGCAGCAGCAGCAGCAGCAGCAGTAGCAGCAGCAGCAGCAATAGCAGCAGCAGCAGCAGCAATAGCAGCAGCAGCAGCAGCAATAGCAGCAGCAGCAGCAGTGGTAGCAGCAGCAGCAACAACAGCAGTAGCAGCAGCAGCAGCAGCAGAGGCAGTTCTGCAGCCCACCTTCCCCTTTTGTTTCTTCCTCTATTTAGATGAGATTTTGTTTCAAAGATTTAATTAAATAATTTAAATAAATAAAATTTGCCTTTTGGGGGGAAGCAGCAACTAATTGATTCAAGAGACAGAGCTGCTGCCACTGGAATTGTTGTGCCTCGGTGCTGTGCTGCCATATCTGCTGCTGCTCATGCTGCTGCTGCTGCTGCTGCTGTTTTTGCTGCTGCTGCTGCTGCTGTAGGTTTGCGACAGATTGAAGCGGGTTTACGCGGAGTATGCAGCGCGCCCCCCTCCTACTGCTGCAGCAGCAGAAGGAGCAGCAGCAGCAGCAGAAGGAGCAGCAGCAGCAGCAGCAGAACCAGCAGCAGCAGCAGCAGCAGCAGCAGGATGGAATTTAAAACCCGAAGTTGTTTTCTTAAGACTCGACACTTATAGAGAACGCAATTTGGCCCTCACTGCTGTGGCCCTCACAGCGCAGCAATTTTCGAAGTTGGAAAAAATTGAAATTTGTGGCTCTAAGGGTAACTAATTGATTAATTAATTAATTAATTAATTAATTAATTAATTAATTAATTAATTAATTAATTAATTTTTATTTATTGTTTGTTATTTAATTTAGTTTAATTCGCCCAGTGACGAACAGGTCCGCGAAAGAAAGCTGCTGCTCCTGCTGCTGCTGCTGCTGCTGCTGCTGCTGCAGTTGCTGTTGCTGCGGGTGCCAGGCCCGTTGCTTCCGCTGCTGCTGCTGCTGCTGATAGTGCTGTGTCTGCTGCTGCTTCTTTTGCTGCGTCTGCTGCTGCTGGGGCTCCTGCTGCCATTGCACTGCTGCTGCCCCGTTGCCAACGCCGCTGCCTTCACCGTCGCCGTTGCTGCTGCTGCTGCTGCTGCTGCTGCTGCTGCTGCTGCTGCTGCTGCAGGCAGTGTGTTGACAGCCAGCGTGCAGCATTTGTACGAAGAGTTTAAAGTGCTGATGGAGAAATTTCAGCAAATTGATTTTGACCCTCTGAGTGTGGACAGCAAGAAGCCAGACAGTCATTTTCAGATGTTCAGGTGAGAGACTTTGAATATTTATTTTCAATTATTAATTGAATGAACTTCTCCAATTATTAATTAAATAAACTTCTCCAATTATTAATTAAACAATTATTAATTAAACAAACTTCTATTTATGAGAACTGCTGCTGCTCTAGTCCAGTTCAGTCTGTGGCCTGCAGCCGCATTGCCGCTGCATTTGTTTTGCAAGAAAAATGTTTACAAATTGAAATGCATTTTGAATAAATTTTGAATAAATATCAAGACAAAAAGCAGTAAATGCATATCATTTATATTTGTAAAACGGGAAAATCATTAATGGCATTCAAATGGACTTCAAAAGCGAGTCCTCTGCGTGCAAACCTCCAGAAAATTGGGGTGTACGTACACCTGAAATCCACACACACTCTCCAAACGCGCGCAGCTGCCTTTCTTTGTCTTCTCCTTTTATTTATGTTTGTGGGTTCGGGGCTTTTATTTATTTGGAGTGCAGGAGTTGTGGAATTAGTTGGAAGTGTGGCATTAATTTGGGGTGTACGTACACCCGGTGCATGCGCAGGTCGGGGGTGAAGGCGCTGGAAGAACGGCTGGCCTCCATTTTGTCAATGAGTTTATCCGAAAACTATTCTTTGTTGTCGCGATTAAGATCAATTGATTCTTTTGTGCCTTTGCTGGAGCGGCCGCTGCTGCGGGCTGAGGTGTACGTACACCTGGGCAGCATCCTGCAGCAGTTCAAGCGGGAAATCGAAAACGTGCATTTGCTCTTTTTGCAAAAGACCAAAAAACAACAAAAAGATAACAGCAGCAGCAGCAGCAGCGGCAGCAGCAGCAGCAGCAGCAGCAGCAGCAGCAGCAGCAGCAGCTTTAATGTCGAAACTCTCGCCTTCTCGAACCAACCTCCCGTTGCAAAAAGCCTGGGCTGGGCTGCGGGTCTGCTGCTGCGTCTGCGAGACCCCCAAACTCGAATTAATAAACTTTATAATTTAATTGAAGAAGAAAATAAAGAATTAATTGAAGTCAACAGACAAGCTGATAAAGTGGCAGATGCCATTCAGCAGTTTCAGGAAAACACTGTAAGACACAAAAGCACTTTTGTTTCATCTTTTTTTTTCTTTTTCAACTTTCTACTGGCCAGCATTTAATCACTTTTTTGGGTCTTTTATTTAATTTCTTTTTCTTTTTTCATCTTTTTGTCAAGATGCAAAAATGTTTGTTTTATTTATTTGTCTTTTTATTTTTAAAAACTGCTTTATAGTCCCCGATTTTTCTGATTTTTAATTTTTTGCAGTTTTCAAGCAAAATAAATAAATAAATTCAAATCGCCTTGCAAATGCATGCAGCCTTGCATGCATTTTCAAAATAAATTAGACATATTTATTTATTTTATTATTTATTTATTTTATTTTATTTATTTATTTATTTATTTATTTATTTGCGTTTTCTTCTGCATGCAGCGCCAAGAGTGGTCGCGTACTGCAGTGGCTCCGTCTTTGGCGAAGTTGAATTTGGTGTTGTTGAAAAGAACTGAACACAGACTTTTAAAAGTTAATTTCGATTCTCAATTAATTAATTTACTTCGAGAAATTAAATATTTGAAACTCCAGGGCCTCCAAGTGCCTCCCGAGGCGGAGGCTGTACACCGCAACGCTGAGGTGTACAGACACCGCGTCAACCAACTCGACACCATGTGCAAGCAGTACAACAAAGTCCGAAACAAAATCTTTTCATTTAAACTTCACTTTTGCAGAAAGATATTCTTAATGCTAGCTGCCAAATAAAGAATTCTGCGAAATAAATAAACATATATATATTATCTCTGAAACGCGCGTGCTGCTGCTGCTGCTGCAGCTGCTGCTGCTGCCGTTGCTGCTTTTGCTGCGGTGTTGCTGCTGCTATTTCTGTTGCTGTTTGTGCAGCTGCTGCTGCTGCAGCTGCCGTGCCCTTGTTCGTGCTGCTGCTGCTGCCGCTGCTGTTGCAGTTTCAAATGCTACAATTGCTGCTGCTGCTGCCGCTGTTGAACTTTTGCTGCTGCTGCTGCTGCTGCTGCTGCTGCTGCAGGTTTTGACTGGTTTGCTTCCTAACCAGCGGCCGCTGCTGGCTGACCGCTTGAATGCTATTGACGAAACCCTCGAGCCCGGCCTGACAACTCTTAGCTGGAACTCTGCAGATGTGGATCAGTTTGTTGCTGCTGCTGCTGCTGCTGTTGCTGATGCCTTTTCCATTTGCGACTCCATCACTTCAAACCTCCAAAAGTCCTTCGGTAAACCCTTGCTTTCCCTGCTGCTTCTCCCGTTGCTGCTGCTGGAAAGATGCTGCTGCTGCTGCTGTTGCTCCTGCTCCTGCTGCTGCTGCTGCTGCTGCTGCTGCTGCTGCTGCTGCTGCTGCTGCTGCTGCTGCTGAGGCCGACGAATCATTCTGCTGCTGCTGCTGCTTCTGCTATCGCTGGAATGCGCTGAAAAGTTTGCATTTTATGTTTTGTTTTTTAGTTGAAAAGCATCGGAGTGGATTTAAAAAATTGATTTTGTTTTTTTGGATTTCGTTTTGTTCAGGAGTGCTGAGTGGCTGGCTAGAAAAGCCGCTGTTCGAGCGCAAGCCCAAACCCATGGCTCTTGATGATGCAGATCAACTTATTAAAACAAATTTGGCCAACAGAATTCACATTATGAATGAAGAAGGAAAAGAACTTCACAAAATTCTCAAAGAGTCTGCAGACGCTCTTAAGGCCACCAAGGGTGCGGCCAGGCAGCCAATTCGAGGGTTTGCAGCGCTGCCGCGCCGAGGGTTTAGGGTTTACCGCGCGCCTTAGGGTTTAGGGTTTAGGGTTTAGGGTTTGGGGTTTAGCTTAGGGTTTGGGGTTCAGGGCCTGGTTTTTAGGGTTTGAAGTGCTCGAGGCCGCGGGCAGATGAAAGCTGAAGGTGTTCAGCAGCAGAGTCTTTAGCCCACAGATTAAGCTAGCTAGGGTTTAGGGTTTGGAGTACTGAACTTAGGGTTTAGGGTTTAGCTTTCAACTATAAAGCCTGGGGAGTTAGGGTCTAAGATATTTGAGCTCGCTTCGCTGTGAAATTCTAGGGCTTGGATAAGCAATAAATACAAGAATTAATTGAAGACCTGACTTGAGTTTTTAACACAAAGCTTTAAACCCTTTCTTAAAGCCTACTTCGCAAACCCTAAACCCTAAACCCTAGAACATTAGAGTTACTTCTTGCACATGGCGTCCAAGTTCCCTTAGCTGGTTTTTGCCACTTTTGCCTAATCCCTTAGCCTTTATCTGCAAGCTCCAATCTCCCAGCTATTGGCCCCAAACCCTAAACCCTAAACCCTAAACCCTCGCTGTGGTGCTGCCGCTGCAGGAATGTCCCAATGGCGATCTCACACTCACTTTGTCAGTGCTGTTGTCAGTGAGGGTTTTGCTGCTGTCGCCACAGCTGGTGTTGGCCAGCTGGTGAAATCTCTGGAAGCAAGTGAGTCTTTTATTCAAAAGTTATTTTATTTTCTCTTTTTGCATTTTTTAATTTACAACTTTATACTTTTTAATCTATTTTATCTGCCTCGCTGTTCGAGTTGCTTGCTGGGCACTCCCTTTACCACATTTTAGGATTGCAATTCAGGGTATAAGGGGGGGTATTTGTGATCGAGGGTTTAGGGTTTAGGGTTTGGGGTTTCGCGATGGTTAAACAAACGTTAAGTTGCTTCAATAGTTGGAGTTCACCGCAGATGCCACGCACATGCATTTTTCGTCAGCAGCAGATGCAGCTGCTGCTGCTGCTGCTGCTGCAGCTGCTGCCCTTGTGATTGTTGCTGCTGCTGCCATAATTATGGCTGCAGCCACCGCAGCAGCATTCTCCAGAGCTGCCGCTGCAGCAGGAGCTGCTGCTGCTGCTGCTGCTGGATCCACAGCATCTGCGGCTGCAGCGGCAGTAGCGGTTGCTGCTGTGGCCGGTGCTGCTGCTACTGCTGCAGCATCTTTACCTGTTGACTGTTATTTCATCTCTTGATATATTTTTCAATTATTTGATTATAAAAACATTTTTCTTTTCTCTTTTGTGTGGTTTCCCCACATTTCAGCTATGGGCCCCCGGCCTGAGGCCCCGCCGCTGTTTGAAGTTAAACTGGAACTCATTAAAAATGTAATTGACCTGGTGCCGCCTTTCAAAGGGGAAGTTGGGTGAGTAAAGTACTTTACAATGCTCATTTATTATTATCATTTATTATATTTTTGCTGCCCCAGGAACCAGGAACTTACTTTTTAGTTCGGAAACACTTTTATTCATGTTTTTCATCTGCGTGCTTTGGCTGCTTTGTTTGTTGTTTGTAGTGTTTGTTTGTCTCATACCCTTTTTCTATTTTCCTCCTTTCTTTTCAGTTTTTCTCTTTATTTATTTTTTCTATCTTTTGCTTCGCCGAATGGCTTTTGTTCCGTGGGAAGCGCATAGAGCAAATTCATATTTCAACATCTTTTTGCTTTCTTTCGGTTTATTTGCTTCCTAAAGGAGGTGGTTTTTTTCTCGTAGATAACTCCTTATTCGTCATTCAGCTTGTCCGAAAGGCCATTTAATTTCCTTTTTATTTTCTACTTGTCAATATTTTCCTCTTCCTTTTATGTGCCACCGGCACCAACTCTTGCGCCAACATCGTCCACACGAGTTGCAGCAACAGCTGCAGCAACAATAGCTGCAGCAGCAACAGCTGCAGCAGCCACAGCTGCAGCAGCAACCGCCAGTTTATGTACTTTGCGTTGCATGCGCAGAAGTATATGCAGTGTAATAGATGGCTGGGTGGCGGACTTTTTAAAAAGTGCCGCTGCCACCAACCGCCTAGACACTGGCAAGGGGGATTACTTGGCAGAGGTCAAGGAGTCCTACAGCTTCATGGTAAACCCTAAACCCTAAACCCTAAACCCTTAATTCTGAGCCCCACGCCTGAGTTAAAATGGCTATAATACACCCTGAAACTCTGAACATCTTGACAACGAGTCTTTGGATTATGAAAAAAAAGCTTTAGGGTTCCAGGATTAGCGTTTATCGTCTAATAATTGCCATTAGCGTCTGTTGTCCAGATCTTGCTTATGAGCTTTTGAATGAAAGGGTTTACGCCTCATGTTCTGGTTTCCGCCCTCCAATTGAAGTGCTTAGGATTCAGGCTCTAGGGTTTGGGGTTTTGCGTTGAGGGTTTAGGGTTTAGTCTGATTGTTCTAAGTTTCAATTTGCAGTCTATTCGCGCTCGGCTGACCGAAATTCTTGAGGAAGCTGAATCCAAGGTGAACGCGTGGCTGGGCGAAACTCATAAATATGAGTTTCTGTGGAAGACAGACCCGGCTCAGGATTTAGAAGCGTTTGTTGCCAATTATCCAAAAGAAGAATTAATAATTGGTGGCAGTGAGAACGAAAGCGCAGAAAGCGTCTTCGAACTCATCGGAATCGATCTTGGACGCAGAGTCAGAAACACACCAAAAGCTTCAAACCACAAACCCTAAAATGTAGACTTTGAGTGTTAAAGTCGACGTAGGAGACGCAGTATTGCACCAGTCCACAGCCTAAACCCTGAAAAAAGTTTCAATAACTCTGAAACCGCGTGTTGCTCCCACGCGGGACTCTGGCGCTTAACGGCGAAGGCAGTAAACCCTAAATTGGGGTTAACGGGGGTTTGCTTCGTGTGTTAGGTGCCTCAACTGAGCTGCTTCGAAGAACGCATCATCTATTTTGAAAGTCTAAGGGCGGAAATAGCTGAAATGCGCACCCCCGTAGACATATACTTCTTGCGGGTGAATGCCCAGCCAGCGAAGGTGCAGCTGAGCCAACTCGCCGCATCTTGGGCGAACTACTACATCAATTATCTTTTGAAAGTCTGTCTCGCCAGAGCTGATTCAATTACAGATTTCATCAACAAAATGGATGCTTTTCTCTCGGCCAAGCCGCCCGCTGAAGACCCTGACAACGAGGACAGCAGCAGCAATTCTGAACATGTCGGCAACAGCAACGATGAAAACAAGGAAGGAGGCGACGGCAGCAACGAACGTGAAGCTGACGAGAAGAAAGAAGTTGATAGCAATAAAGAAGCGCTGTACAAATTCATGACTTATATTCGAGACGTAAAAATTGCAAACGAACCCATCCGACAGCTAATGGGGCCTATTCATGAGCAGGTGAGACGCATGCAATTACTGTAAAAGGATATTTAAGTACAATTGCAACATGCTGTGCATGAAGTGCCCTATATGACGGTGCTTATTTTTGCAATTATTCATCGCATGCGCCATTGAACACTTGGCAAGTTGCCACTCTTTTGATTTGCCTTCGTTCTTATCTGCACGTATTTAAAGTTGCATTTCTTCACCGCACTTCTCCTTGGTGTGCGTAAACATCTCAATCTACTTTCCTTGATTTACAATGGTCGAAATATATAGCTAGCCCTTTGATTACATCAATCTGTCGTCTCATGCATGTCAATTTACTTGATGAAGCCTCCTCAAATCAGCATGGCTAGCTAGTCCTGCACTTTTCTGTCTTTGCCTTTATCTGCATATTAATGTACCTACAAGAAGCCTTTCTTAACTTGGCCTGTGTCATCTTGTTTCGGTGGCCTCCACCGCAAGCCTTTGCCCAGAAACGGCTGACAGTGTAATGCAAATCTGCTTGTTGAACTCAGGTGGCGATGCTCAAGAAGCACGGCTGCACACTGCCAGAGGGGCGTCTCGCAGCCTTTGATTTGGCCCCGTCGAAATGGGAGGAAGTGCTGCGCAAGGCGTTTGGTGCGAAGGAGGTCATTCTGCCTCTTCAGAACAAGGAGGTGACAAACATTAGAAACAAACTCGACGAATACACAAACCAAGTCTTCCAGTTCAGGGAAAGATTCCTAAGAGAGGCCCCCTTCGAAGCTCATGGAGACCCGCAGCAAGCGTACGAGGCCATTGACGCGTTCTATCAGCAGTGCTTAGATATGGAAGCAGAAGCCAAAGAACTGAACAACCTAGAAACCCTCTTTGACCTAGCCAAATCTGTGCATAAGGAACTCAAGGACACTAAAGAAGAGCTCAAAATACTCAAAGTAAGTTGGGAGAATCATAGCTAGATAACCAGCTAGCCGGCTGACTATCTGACTGTTTAGCGAGCTAGCCAGTCATCAATCCTGGTTCACACTAGGCTAGCTACCCAATTTCATAGCTACACATCCATCAAAGCATAAAGAGAGTAGAGGCTTGCCTGAAGAAATTACCAGCTGCCGCAGTAGCCAGCTGTGTGTGGCTAGCGTTACCTGCGAATCTGCTTGTAAACAAATTTCTGCATCCTTCTTCGCTACTACCACTGCCTTGTGTTCCTGCCCTAAAAATACATATTCGCACACATAGCAGTGTTTATCGTGACGGAAGTGGCTTATTAATTCGCCTTTTTTCCACTTTTTGCTTGTCGGTTTGCTTTGTCGTTTGGTGGTTTCCTGGCGTTTACTTAAATGTTCTTCCTTTTCCTATTCACTGGCTTATTGACTTCCATCGTTGCATTCATTTGGTTGATTTACCGATGTTTTCAATCTAGCCGTTCGTACTTAGTCATTCGGTCATGCATAGAAACCAGGGAAAAGAGAGTGGCAGCGGAGAGTTTGTCAATCTTGAAGACAAATGAACTCATTGTTTGTTGAACAAGCCAGTAAAAATGAGATAACGCAAGCATCAGGCAATCCTAAAACACGGATGACAATCCATGCGTCCGCCACGTTAAGCTACTTAATCAGAGATGAAAGGCATGGATAGTGTTTGTGTGTGTTTGCTTCTCCAGTGAACCACTTACCCAGTAACCTGAACAGATAAATGTAGCAACTTTTGTGCCAATCCAAAGAAGCAAGTACTTAGCTGACAAACGAAGTAATGCAGCTATTTTAAGTGCTTGTTTGCTTGTTCACAGGAGGCATGGGACGTTAGTGTCTACGTCACGAGCTGGTTCGAGGCGTGGAAAGCAACACTCTGGGAGGCAATCGACACGGATGCGTTGTTGCTGCACGTAAAAGACATGCAGAATCAAATGCGGTCGCTTTCCAAAGAAATAAAGAGCACCAAAATATACACTGTAAGTATACACAAAGATTACTTCAGTTTTGGCTACTTGCAACATACTCGCCTGTTTAACTGCCACGTACATTGCCTGTTCGGTTATTCAGTTGCTTCCCGCGAATGTACATGATTGGTGGTTGGAGCATTCTTCCATTCATATCAAGTTTGGTTTATTTACTCAACTTTTTGTTCTGGCTTTGTTTGGCGTTTCTTGTGTACAATTCATATGCGTGTTCGTCGGTGTTACCCTGTACCTCGTTTCCATACAGCTCCTGACTCATTGTGCAACGAATGCATCTTCAAATAGTCCACAACGAACCTTCCCGACTCTTTGGAAAATCCTCAACAAAGTCTACAATTTGCGGTGTAGAACGGGCTCTTTGCGTTTTGTTTAGGCGGTATTAGAGCGGGTGACGAACATGCAAGTAGTGCTGCCATTGGTTGCTGAGCTGCATTCTGAATTCATGAGAGATAGACACTGGAAGCAGCTGATGACGATAGCGGGACAGACATTTGCGAAGGGTAATACTCAAGTCTCGTTCAATTACACTCTCCATAAATGGGTGAACACACGCTACGCAACAAGATTAATGTGGTTGATGATTCAAAAAGCGAATTAAGTGCTTGCAGCGTTAATGAGGGACCCAAACATGTTCTTTTACAATTCCCTCGTTCATAAGCTGACCTTCTGCTCATCGAATTTTGTTCTTTTAGTCTTATTACTAACACCTACAGAGCACTTCAAAGAATATTACATTCATGCAGTTAAGTTGTTTGATATCTGCACGCGAGTAGTGAGCCGCACTACTTTTTTCTCGGAATCAACCGTAGCAGGCGTTATTACACATATTTCATCCACTCTAGTTTTGTTACTGTGTTCGCTGTTCAGGACCAGACTTCTGTTTGCAAGATCTGCTGAACTTGAATTTGCACGAGCGAGCCGCTGATGTTTCTGAAGTGGTTGTCTTGGCTCAGAAGGAAGCGCGAATAGACAAAAAGTTATCTGAAATAACAAGTACATGGGAGCAAAAGTGTTTGACGTTTTCTCTGGAACGTGAGGAAACACCGCTTTTGCTGCCGCTAGACGATATCGTGGAAACCTTAGAGCAGCACGCGGTGGATCTAATGACCATGATAAGCCAGGGGGCCGTTATAGATTTTTGCAGAAGTCAAGTGGAAGAATGGCAACTCAAGCTCAGGACTGTCGACACCGTACTTACGGTCTGGATGGAAGTACAGAGAAAGTGGGAGGTGAGTAATTCTGTGGCTTCTATAGCCCTCACTTTTTAATTTTCGCCAGTGTTCTTTTGTTCACTCAGTACTGTCACTTTTGTTGCGGTTTATCTCTCTTCTCCTTAGTGTGTGACTATTCCAGTTTGCTCGCAGTGTTGCTAAAAGGGAAAAGAAGTGAATAGGCAATTCGCAGTTGGCTTATTGTGGTTTGTCTCTCCTCTTTTAGCAGCTTCCAGTGCTGCTTTAGGCCTTACCTAATGCCATGCCTTCTACGAAAGACAACAACAGCGGCAGAGCTTTAACTAGGCTCTTTTGATTTGTCAGTTGTCCTTTTTAAATTTCCTCTCTTTTTCTCCCCGTATCTCTGTTGCTTTTTTTCCCCTCTAATTTCCGATGGTGCTTGTTTCCTCCATGCATTCATTGGTATTCTTCTGCCTTCATCTCGTAAGGTCTCATTTTCTGTGATTTTCGGGTGGTAGCCGTTTATTTTGTTCGTTTTGCCCTCTAGCTTCTGTTTCGTTTTACGCCTGTTGCAAAGCCGTATCTGCACATCTCGTCTCTGATTTCTTTGTACCATCCCCAGTTTGTACGCTTCATCATTTTACCACTTATATATGTTACAGGTCAAATTTATTCCGCTTCATATTTTAGATTTTGTCATTGTCGAGGCATACATGTTTACATATTCGTGAAGGCTGATGGCGTCTTGTCCCACAAAATGTTCGTTATGCCTGTCTCAATCATTTTTTGCCTGGCTTTACCTCATGTTTGTGCTCTCCTTTCAGCTTCTTCTGTATCTCTCGTTTGCTGCTTAGTTCTTATGCAGCGTTATAGCTTCACGTAGACGTCCGACAATTCGCCTTTTCGGTGCTTGTGTCATTCTTGTTCAGTCTCTTTGCCGTTTTATTTTGTGTCATTATTTGTACATCTATCTTTTCCCTGAAGTTTCCATGCACAATTCATTATTATTTTTCAGCGTTTGCAACCCATATTTATGCAATCTGACGATATCCGTTCTCAACTTCCCCAAGAATCCAAACGCTTCGAATGTGCTGACGGCGAGTGGCGGGATATGATGTACGGGGCCCAGGCCCAGCCCAATGTAGTCGAGGCTTGTCACGCCGAAGGCAGAGAGGAGCTGCTTAATAAACTTAGGGAGAGCATTGAAACATGCGAGAAGGCTCTAGGAGGTATGTACAATGATGCACTAAACGTAGAGATGATTGCTAGGTTCAAAGTTGTTATTGCCACCAATAGCACACCTTACAGCACAAGGGAACTTACATTGAAGACAGTACTGAAACCCTAGGATAAATGCTGCAGTGGACACTATTCAGCAATTTCTTTACCTTTTCTGTGATTCATGTTAGTGTCCTCATTACAGCGAACACGTTCAGTTGAAGACAGGGTAGAGGCTCCGAGACAGTATTAAACCATCCCACGTTTTTCTTTAACATTATGTACTGCAGTTTGGCGCAGCAAAAAACCCTGGAAAAGCTATAGTATAGTGCAACATGTTGCTCAGCAGTTTGGAGTCGCCCTAAAAGTAGTGCATTGTATCAAAAAAGCGTCGCTACTCACACCAGACAGCAAAGGGAGCATAATGGCTGCAATACGCTCCGCTGTGTATGAACTTTATCGCTTGCTTTTTCTCATTTTCCACTGCTTGTCTTTTTTCCTATTTTCTATTACGGTGTTTTCTATTGCCTCCGGTTTTCCTTTGGTTTCGTTATGTCACAGACTACCTGGAACAGAAAAAGAAGGCATTTGCTCGATTCTACTTCGTTTCAAATCAGGCTCTCCTGGACATATTGGCAAACGGGAACGATCCACTAAAGGTTTCCTACTACTTGGGTGATTGTTTTGATGGAGTTTCAAGTTTGAATTTTGAAAAAAATAAACAAACATATCGCATTGCTAGTGGCATGTATTCCAAAGAAGGAGAATATGTGCCGTTCGCTGAGGATTACATCATCGAAGGACCCGTCGAAACAGTAAAAATACTTGCCTAGAATGCCCTTAAGTCTAGGCTTCCTAAACCAATTCCTGAAGTGTGGCCGCTGATTGCATAGCTTCCGCACTGAGTGTTTCACACAGAGCATAATCAAGTGTGCTTTTTCTCCTTTGCCTCCCTTGAGGCTTCACAGTAGATCGTTTTTTTTAAATATCTCGCCGCAGGTTTCAACCCCTAAGCTTTGACAACCCTGCTTCAACCCTTAAACTGTGAACTCTCTACAGATTAAGCGTGCCTCTAGCACTGCACCCAAATACGGAAAAGCGACCTCTGCCTACTGTTTTTCTTCTATGTTTGATGAGGGCAGGCGCCGGGGCTATAGTAGCTGGTAGCTGGGCAGTATCGGTGCAGCAATGTATCTTCCTATGCTGATTGTGTTTCTTCTCAGTATTTATGTAACTTTGAAACGCATATGCGCAAACAAATGCGTGACATATTGGAGGTGGCAAAGGGCACTTCAGAAAACTGGGAAGTAGAAAAGCCCAGGTAAGATTTGTGTAACTCTCTGCTTATATCTGCTTGATTTTGTTCCCCGTCACCTGCTCCTTCGCATTTCAATCTCCGTGTTTTCTCGTGTATCTACTTGTTCTCATTTGACTGCTAGCCTTTTGTCCAATTCTTTGTGGAGTTGCACTCTTCAAGCTCCTATAGCGCTTGTTCTCCTTTATGTCCTTGTTTGGATTCTGCCTAGGCGGCATTTTAACTCTTTCTAGTGGTCTATTTTCTTGTTTTCTAGGACGCACTCGTTAAATTTAGTATTTCACTCGGCAATTCATTAATTTTCATTGCGTAAGAGCCTTTGCGTTCTTGTATCTTATCGCTCCTTCTATTGCAGTTCGCATAAGAAGTGTTTTCTTGCAACTTTATATTTTTCAGCTTGATACTCTTTGATCGTTAACGGCTTCTGTTGCTTGCCTCCTCATGGCGGTTACTCAGATTCCACCCGATGGCAAATACATTAACGCGAATATTTGTACACGCGTGCAGCTAGACTTACATTAAGAGCACAAAAAAATACGCTGCGCATGCAAAAGACGCAAAAGTGTGTGCATTCACATAAAGGCGCAATCGTGCACTGAGGGGCGCATTTGTACACTGGCGAGTAGGCAAGAATTCACGTGCGCACAAACGCAGATTCGGCATGCCTCACATCAAGAGCAAACATGTATCGGTATTCACGTCGAGACACATTTGGGTTAAAATTGCCCTTCGACTTTCTGCTGTGTGCAGGGAAGAATGGCTCCGTGACTACTGCAGTCAGGTGTGCTTGGTAGCGAGTCAGATAATGTGGACAGAGGAGGTCACCCGCTGCTTTGAGGAGCTGGAAGGCGGATCTGAAAATGCAATGAAGGATTACAAAAAGATTTACGATGATCGCATAGACAAGCTCATTAGACAAGTCCAAAAGGACCTGGATATGGGCTTACGGACCAAAATTATCACGTTAATTACTATTGATGTTCATCTCAGAGATGTCGTAGAATGCTTCATAACAAAGAAGGTTTCAGAATGTGCGCCAAAGCCACGTCTGCTAATTTCCACTTATATCTGCCTTTCTTAGTGGACACTAGTCAACTTGTTAAACGTCAGTTGAACCCTATGATGCACGCACTTCATGCTTCATCCTTGCACCCTGCGTTGCAGCATCATCCTTTCAATGGCAATCTCAGCTGCGTTTCCATTGGGGCCAGAAGCCAGGAGAAAATAAAAAGGACTGCGTCATTAAAATGTGCGACTGGACAACCACTTACATGCATGAGTTTGTCGGCAACTGCGGGCGGCTCGTTATCACGCCTTTAACGGATCGCTGCTACATAACCCTCACGCAGGCTCTGAACTTGACCATGGGAGGTGCCCCGGCGGGCCCTGCAGGCACAGGGAAGACAGAAACAACTAAGGATCTCAGCAGGGCGATAGGTCTTCCCGTCTTCGTATTTAACTGCTCGGATCAGATGAACTACTTGTCCATGGCGCAAATCTTCATGGGGCTGGCACAGTCGGGGGCGTGGGGGTGTTTCGATGAGTTCAATCGAATTTCAATTGAGGTGCTTTCTGTGGTATCTACGCAAGTCAAGTGCATACTTGACGCAATGAAAGAAGGACGGAAACGGTTTCAGTTCATGGACGATGAGATTAATCTCGTCAAAACCTGCGGTGTATTTATTACCATGAATCCAGGCTACGCCGGTAGAACAGAACTACCAGAGAATCTCAAGTCACTTTTCAGGCAAATCAAGTCTTCATTCTTATGCCCTAATGCTTAAACATGAGCCCGCAATCATGCTACAGTAGCTCACTTTTCTCTGATTAGACCACCTGGACGTTTACTAAGTAAATTGGGGCCTAGTGGTGGCGCTATAGGGTATTGCCTCACGCCTCGCCATGTGCAGCCTTTAAAATTTAAGGCGAAGTGCTTGCTGTTATGGATCCGTGCGTTCTAATCTCGAGCCTTTTCTTTGCGCATTAACGATTGTTATCTGTGGTGCGCCTTGTCTTCGTCTAACAGGCCCTGCGCAATGATCGTGCCTGACGTGTTGTTCATCTGCGAGAACATGCTGATGTCAGAGGGTTTCGTATCGGCCCGCGCCTTAGCACATAAATTTGTGACCCTTTATGCTCTATGTAAAACCTTACTATCAGATGCATTACACTATGATTGGGGTCTCCGAGCAGTCAAGGCTGTGCTGCGGCAAGCTGGCTCACTCAAGAGAGCCGACCCTAATGTTAATGAAGATACGCTGCTGATGAGGGCACTGAGAGACTTTAATATTGCGAAAATAACAAGTGAAGGTAAGATACGGAAGAGCAGATGAAGCAGCGCAGAATGAAGAACTCCAGAAACGTTCCCCACGGTTATATGTACATATTTATGTCTATGAATATGGATTGAATTTGCATATCGCTCCATGCGTCTTGCACAGTTCGAAACACAAATCCGTGTATAATTATGAACAGTGTAAATGCGTGAATATCTGCCCTTCACAGATGGTGCCTGTTTTGTTTGTAAAATTGAATTCTTCCATTGCAGACAAGCCCATATTCCTGCGTCTTATCGAGGATCTGTTCCCTGGTGTCGTGTCGCCGCCCAAACGTGATGTCGATTTCTGGAAAGTGGTTATGGCAGTGACAAAGGCTCAAAAATTGCAGTGCGAGGAACAATTCATTCTTAAATGCGTCCAAGTTCGAGAGGCCATACAAGTGCGTTCTTAATCCTACGCCCTTCGCTTCTAGAAAAGTGCCCTGGAGAGGCTGAACCGTCGTTGGTTTTAGAGGGCGGTTCACGAGTTTCGGAGCTTGCTGTAATCCCCGGAGCCATAGACAGTATATCTCTCCTCAGGTACGACATTGCTTATTTATTCTCGGTCCCCCTGGGGCCGGCAAGTCACGGGTGTGGCAAACGCTCTCGAAAGCCCTGAAGGCGATTGGGGAGGATGGGGTGGTGGAGGTATTGAACCCCAAAGCTATATCGACAAATGAGCTATACGGGTGAGCGGAAAATAATATTAGACGCTCTAGGGTTTAAGCCACAAGATACAAAAGCAATATTGTTAGTAATGGCAATAACAGTTATGCTGCTCACGAATATGCTCTTACTCATCGTCGATAAAATTGCAGTTGTTTTGTTCAAATACGAACTTCCCAAGTACATTTGGGCATGGCTTCATTAGCAGAAGAATAAGCAAGTAGCACTCCTGCTAATGCAGTGCTGTCATCATCACTATTCAGCTTTCTGATTACAACTACTGTTGATGATGATTACGGTCATTCACAGACTTTTCTGATTGGCACGCGCTACACCACGTGATGAGACGAAAATGGAACTTTTTCCACCCAATCCAACATATGAATTGCACGTTTACTATGAATATTTCTCTCATCAGTTTCTAACATATTGCCGCCGTTAGCATTGCTTTCATGGGGAGCATTAATATGGCATGGCAGTGTGTGTGAATCAGGTACATGACCCCTGCCAAGGAGTGGAAAGATGGAGCGGTAGCTGTCATAATGCGGAATATGTCAAAAGAGCGTGGAGGGTTCAAACCTTCCCACCTGCACAAGTGGATTATTTTAGATGGTGACATAGATGCAGAGTGGATCGAGTCCATGAACACTGTCATGGATGACAACAAGGTAGGAAAGTTAAGAGCAGTCACGTACTAACTGGACAGAAGAAATGTGTGCAAGCCGTATAGCACTTCAGCCAAAACAAAGTCAAGGAAAGCAGGTGCCTCAAGTGAAGCCACCTTCACCTCTATGATTGCACATATCTTAGCTTGTGACCAGTTAGAAACAGAAGAGTTGAGGTAAATACCACAAGCCTCTAGAAGTGAAAACTGCTATGCAGGTGCTGACACTAGTAAGCAATGAGCGCATTCCGTTCACTCCGACAATGAGAATGATATTTGAAATCGCGGATATGAAGCATGCAAGTCCAGCAACTGTCTCAAGAGGAGGCGTGGTATTCATCAACGAGACCGACGTTGGGTGGAAACCCTTCGTAGATTCTTGGAGGGAAACGCTCAGTGACCAAATAGCACAGTCTCAGTTGTATCTGCTGTTTTCTTACTACTTTGAATCGGTAAGGACCTGCGCGCATGAATTCATATGAATGCACCAATATCTTGTGTACAAAACACAATATGCATGTATACACTAACAGATAATAGATGCATGCGCAGTAGATTCCTTCAATAGAGTACAAATCACCTGCCTTAAGCAGTATTTATTCAGTGGCTTAGTTCCTCAATCAACACTCCTTTTGTTTCAGATAGCGGTATATGCTTTAAAATAACTCCCCCCCTCCCCACGTGGCATCACTGAACAGACAGAAAGGGGAGAGAAATAAGTAGCAGACTTCGACTGCACTCGCCTTGCTACAGCCCAAATTGCCTACATGTCGCTTGTCGAAGCAGATCAACAGCTCAGAGGCCGAGAGCCCACAACAAAGACCAAAAGCAGCAGTAGCCCTTGAACGCGAGACCCTGCGTACTGAACTAAAGGTGCTGTGCTGTGGGGTTTCCCGCGTTTTGCAGAACATAGAAATGTTTCATCGGACCTTCAAGTTTGTCTGCCCCATGACAGACATAGCTTTCGTCGAGGGCATTTGTACATTTGTCGATGCGCTCCTTTGCCGCAACAAAGCCACAGCAGACGCATTTAAGGCTAAAAGCGTCGACGAGCAGAAGCTCACATATGAAGGCTATTTCCTATCGGCCTTGATGTGGACAGTTGGAGCCTGTGTAGCAGATGATAAAGCTGTCAACTACAGGTAAAGCACAGACCTGCAAACATTCCTTTTGGCCTGGTTTTGCAGGAACTGCTGTTGTTGCCCATTCCCCAGGGATTGGTATTGTGCCCTTCATGTACTGTCCCTGCCTTTCCGTGCATGTGCATTGCGCTAAGGGCTCAGTTCAGCAACTGGTTACGAGCCGCTGCGCGCATTAAGTTCCCAGAAAATGGCCTTTGTTTTGATTATTACTTCGAAGAATCGACCTGCCAGTGGGTGCAGTGGAGTTCTCAACTGAAGCCTTATGAGCCTGTAACAGAGATGTTGTTTAACAAGATCATAGTCTCCACGACAGACACCCTTCGGTAAGCGAAGATGTATGGTGGGGTCACTGAAGCCCTGTCGAAGGGCTTGCAAACACTAAAAGCATTTGTAATTGCTTGGCTAAAGTCTTCGCCATACTATGGTTGTTGGTGAGCAGCATCAACTACGTAAATGAATTATTCTGCAAGCGCGGAAGAGCTGTTCTGCTTGTTGGTTCCTGTGGTTCTGGAAAAAGCACCATTATCAAGGTAATTGAAAGATGCGTACAGTTCTAGATATGTACAAGCCATTTGTTAGGGTTTCCCTTAAGCAGCACTTAACAGTTACCGAATTACTTGGATATCATTCTTGTGACTTGCCGTATCCCTAGTCGTCCTTAATTTTGAAGTGAAGACCCGAAACCCTTCAGGCATGCAGCACATTGTGTGCAAATTGCACTAGTCACTTTCCTGTTACAGGACTTCTTCCGCCACTTGCCCCCCGATTTTGAAAGCGCCACAATCAATCTTAATTCCTACACCGACTCACGCATGCTGCAAAGTATCCTGGAGTCCAACATTGAAAAACGGTGGGTAGAGGCTCCAAAAGCTATTTTCTTGGCCTTGCAGTGTAACTACGGAGCATGAGAAGCAATACTGCATTTTATTGTATTTGTTTGACTTGCAGCACTGGCCATACTTACGGACCCGTGGGAAATAAACGTATAGTGTACTTCATTGACGACTTGAATATGCCATACGTCGATAAATATGATACCCAGCCTCCGCTAGAGCTTCTGCGGCAGCTTATGGACTACGGTAGTATGTTTGACCGCAGCCATTTGGAAGACAAGATGAATGTGGTAGACGTGCAGTATATGGCGTGCATGAATCCCACCGCTGGTTCATTCAATATCAGCTCTCGGCTTCAGCGTCACTTTTCAGTAGTTACCTGTTTCGAAGCTGACGCCGAGACTATTGGTCGCATCTATGGCAGCATTCTCAAACAGCATCTCTTGCCATTTGACCCGCCCGTAGCAGAGCTAGAGGGACCTATATTGCAGGCCACAATAGACCTCTTTGCACAAATTCGTGCCGATCCAACGTTTTTGCACTCTGCGAAAAAATTCCACTACAACTTCAACCTACGTGACCTCTCCAGCATGTTTAAAGGGGTGCTGAGGTCAACTCCCTCCATGTACCGGCAAACGGTGGGCGGCACTACGAAGCTAATTCGGCTTTGGCTCCATGAGGCAAACAGGGTGCTTCGAGATCGACTGATATCGGAAGGCGATATGAGTGCGCTGGACAATATCATCAAAGGCGTTGTTAAGAAGCACTTTCCTGATGAAGATCAAGAACAAATTCATGCAGCCCCAAATATCATGTGCAGCTTTTTGTCCGAGGCCTCCGGCAATGATCCTGTGAGCCGCAGGCTCCTACTAACTCACACGTCGTATAATAGATGTCACAAAATGGCCTAAACATCAGTCAGAGCATCAGTTTTCGAATTATGGGACCCGTGCTTTGCTCATTGAATTGCGGGCAACTTTATCCTAACTGGGGGGTTTTTGGTCGAAGGAGTGCGTGCAGAGCTGACTTTGGCTTGCCAGGATCAATTTTGGAGCTCAGATCTGCGCGTGTGCAGGTTTATATGCCTGTTCAAGACAAGGAATCGCTGCGGCAGGTGCTGCAGGAGAAGCTTGAAGAGTATTCGCAGACATACACGGAGATGAACTTGGTTCTTTTTGATGACGCTATTTTACATGTTACGCGAATATGTAGAATATTAGACGTTCCCGGAGGCAATGCCCTACTTGTCGGTGTGGGAGGCAGTGGCAAACAAAGCCTCAGTCGGCTTGCATGCTTTATCTCAAAAGTTGAAACGTACCAGATCGTCGTTAGCCAGCATTACGACAGCGCCGCCTTCAAGATTGACATGCAGGTGGACTCCACACCTGCGCGTAAAAGCGTGAATAAAGAGTTTACCTTTTTTTTGTCCCTAAACACAACAGCAGTTTCCGGGGGAGCTTCGTTTGCTTTCATCTCGTTTCAATACCCCTGCAAAAAAGTCATCAATCAGTGAGTGCCATCAGTGCGTGCTTTGCCTGCCGGCGTCGTCACAGGAATTGATGAACAAAGCAATTGTGCGTCCTGGGATTCCCCATGCGCTCCTGCTGACAGATCAGCAGATTGTAGACGAGCAATTGCTGGTCTACGTCAACGACCTCCTGGCCTCAGGAAACATTCCCGATCTCTTCACAAGGGACGAATACGAGCAAATCTTCACAGTCCTTAGGTAACACTGCAAGCACGAGGCAGCTCAATCGCTAGCAGCAAGCTTAATTGAAAAGTGTGGCGATAAATTTTTAATTTACGCACTGCACCCTCTACTAGGTTAACTGCCCACGGTGCGCCGCTTCTACCGCAGGAAGCAAATCAGGCCTGGGGCTCCCGGCAATACTAGGGAAGGCATGTGGCAAGTGTTCACGGACAAAGTACAGACAAACGTGCACGTTATTATCTGCCACTCACCTGTAGGCGAGCATTTGAGAGTTCGGGCCCGCAAATTCCCAGGCTTAATTTCAGGGACGACAGTGGACGAATTCCATCCTTGGTCGCGAGATGCGCTGGTGCAGACAGGAGCGGTATTCCTAAAGGGCAAGTAATAAAATGTTTGCAGAAAATGCCAGAATAAACTATCCTAGTTTGCGAGCAATGCTACCTAGTCAAGACCCTTTTCCGCTACAGCAAAAGCTGCTGCAATAGGAGCAATACGGGCAATCCGAGCATAATATCGATGCGTAACTCTTGAGCATGGTGCTGCAGACGTGGAACTCCCGGCTGAAGAGTTACGCGGATTGTTGGCGGAGCACATGGCAAACGTGCATTTGAGCATAGATGTGGCGAATGAGAATTTCTTGCGACAAGAAAGGCGTTACAATTACACTACGCCCAAATCTTTCTTGGAGCTGATTGTTTTCTACAAGCAATTCCTCAGTCGCAAGAGAGAAGAAGCGAATCAGTCCATCAACAGGCTGCTTAAAGGTCTGACTACGTTGAAAGAAACAACGGCAGAGGTTGAGGGGCTGAGGGAAGATCTAAAGGAGAAAATGATCGTGGTAGACGAAAAGAAAGCAGCAGCTGACGCGTTGGTTGAACAGGTCCTCAAGGCCTCAGCAATTGCTGATGAGGAGGCCAAAATTGCGAACGCAGAAAAAGATAAGGCAAACGCTTTGAGTGAAGAAGCTGCAGAAATACAAAAGAAAGCCGACGAAGAACTCTCAGAAGCAATGCCAGCGATGGAAAGAGCCAGAGAAGCAGTCAAGTGCCTTACCAAACCTGCTATCCAGGTAAGACCAAATCCGAGAAATTCAAACGTTATTCTCCACATTTCTCAAGTGTGCTACGTGGATGAACTCCACAGCAGTTACTCTAGTCTACAGTCGCTTCATTCTGAAATAACAGCACTGGCTGCGTGTTTAATATACAGGAGCTCAAATCGCTGCCGAAACCCCCAGCCGAATGTTTGGAGGTTACTAAGGCTGTGCTGATAATGAGGGGGGCAGGGAAGAATACCGAATGGAAGGCGGCACAAAAGATGATGAGCGACCCTGGAAAATTCTTGGAACAAGTAAAAACGGCATGCAGTGGCCACTTTACCAAATTCACACAAGCGGCACTGTGTTAAAACTTTTGTGCCCAAACTTTAGAGCCCCGAAAGCTTATGAAGAATATGCTGAAACATCAAGTATGGAGCGAACTTCCGGGAGTATTATAGCCCGGCCTCATGCGAGGTAATTCCGTGTGGTTATCCTTACAGGTTCGCGCCTTTGACGCTGAGAACATGACAGAGGAAACAGTTAACGCAATCACTCCGATAATTTCCCAGCCATTTTTTAACTTTGAAGTTATGAAGAGCAAGTCACTTGCTGCCGCATTCCTTGCAAATTGGGTGGTGAATATTGTCACGTACAACACAATCTACCGCAAAGTAAAGCCCTTGATGGATAAATTTGCAGAGGCCACGGAGTCCAAGGCCAAAGCCGACTCTAACCTGGCTCAAGTAATGGAGCGCGTTCGAGAAATTAATGGTACAGCCTAGTCTCTAGACACTCTGCTTGGCGAACCAGAAAAACCGAAGCTCTTTCGAGTAGTTCCAGCTCGCCAAACCCCTTGGGTTGTGTCTGCAACCGCTGGCCCTGTGCATTATCGGCATCAGGTCAGCACTGGATTTCCGTAGTATATTTCCTTGCTTCAATGTTCAGAAAAAGTGGCGAAACTGCAACAAAAACTGCAAGAAGCTGATGACGACCGTCGTGGGGTGGTAGCTCAGGCCGAAGAGTGTCAGTTGAAGTTAGACCTTGCAGAGCGGCTGGTCAACGGTTTGGCAGACGAGAATGCTAGATGGACGCAGGCCATGGGTGAGCTGGAATCCTCGAAAATGACTGTCATCGGAGATTACCTTCTGGCTGCAGCTTTCGTTTCATACGCGGGAGCCTTCTCGGCGTCCTTCCGAGTCGGGCTGATTGAGGTACAAACATAAAAGCGCCGAAGCAGGTCACAGCTGAAATGCTATTTATTAAGCCAATACTCAAGAGATCTTAGCATTCGTCTCCAAGCAACACGCATAGCGCTTGGCGCACATTAAATGCTGAGTGCTGCATCTCTTCGTGGCGTAACTTGCTGATGTGGTTGCTGCATAACTCTGTAACCTGTGGTACCAGGGTGAATGGAAGGCTGACCTTGTGAAGCAAAATATACCCTTTACACCCACTGTTAGTCCTTTGGAGGTATTGGCAGACGAGGCAGATATCGCCTTATGGAAAAATGAAGGCTTGCCTGCGGATCGTATTTCCATTGAAAACGCAGCGATTGTCACATCCTGTCTTAGGTAATCATCTACGCATAATGTACTTCAATACATATGTTCACAAATTCGCATTCACGGTGCGCCAAAAGTAAGGCAGAGTTACCGCCTTCAGTCACGTGAACTAAGCTGACCGTCTGGCTCTACAAGCAATTTCAACTAGGACTGTTTGCGTTTCTCTGTTAACCCAGGTGGCCTTTGTTGGTGGACCCGCAGCTGCAAGGGACACGTTGGGTTAAGCAGAGAGCCCACGAAAGTCTGATAACAGTGTCTGTAAATCGTGACCGCTGGCTGACCAAAACGATTGATGCAATAAGAAATGGCGACACCCTCCTAATAGAAAACCTAACCGAGTCTATCGATCCTGTCCTAGATCCCATTTTATCTCGAACCGTCTCAAGAAAGGTGACCAAACAAAGGGAATGGCCAGGTCCTTTTTGCCGCTGTGTCGGGGAAAAGGGTTTGGGATCGAAAAGTCTTGCGCATGACTTTTGGAGCTGTGAAGTGTACCCTGAGATGCAGGTTTCGATGAAGAAAGCGGGGAAATAGTTTCTTTTTGCCATTTCCTTTGCAGTTCATACCTTACGAGTGCAGATCTTAGCATATTCCTTCTGCCAGATCTAACTTCTGTGTGCTTCAGGGCCGTACACTATACGTAAAGATAGCAGGGGAAGATATAGAGTTCAACACCGAGTTTCGCCTTTTGCTGCAAACAAAGCTTCCTAACCCGCATTACAAGCCTGAGATCGCAGCCCAATGCACTTTGGTAAACTTCACGGTCACTCCTGAGGGGCTGGAGGAGCAGTTCCTGGCGATGATTGTCAACGCTGAGCAGCCAGACCTCGAGACATCGAAGCAAGCCCTCACTCGAAAGCAAAATGAATTCAAGGTAACCCTGGCCCAGCTTGAAGACAAGCTTCTCTTTGAGCTCTCAAATGCAGATCCTGAGCTTATTCTCGCGAATACAGCACTTGTCGAGAGCCTAGAGGAAACGAAGCGGACAGCCAAGGAAATACAGGAACAGGTTAGAGACTGAGCGAATGAACGAAACCTTGCAATTTGACTTTACACATCACGGCCCATACTTATCTTCTTATACAGTTTCTTCCGGACCTCTAATTTTAACTGTACAAGTTAATGTCTATGGCTTAGGGCTCACAGTGCAATGCGAGGCAGAAGAAAAAGTGATTTGGTTTTCGCATGGCAACCCCGGCAGGCAGCTGATACACCCTATGTCCTTCGAATCCAAGGCAGCATGTTCGTGATGATGTCTTTCGGTCTTTAAACATTTGTGCTTGTTCGTGCCATTTTGGGTTTCATATGTAATTTAGCTGCATCTATACACGAGTACGTACATCTCTTGCCGCATATTCATATTGGCACATGTTCGCAGCAAGTTGTAGCAAAAGAGAGGGAGGAGCAAATCAACAGGAGTCGTGAAGCCTATCGTAGGGCAGCATCAGAGGCATCGATGCTGTACTTTGTGCTCACGCGGCTCCGTAGCATCAATCCAATGTACCAATATTCGCTGGACTCATTTATCACATTTGTGCACAAGGTAAGTTCCAGTTGCAGGCGTCTGCGAACTGCAAATGTTGAATCGCTTCAGTACACTCTCTGTCTGAAAGAAATTTGCGAGTTATTAGATTTTGATAGGAAGTGTTGCAGATCACCGCTCATTGGATTATCGAAAGCAGTGCGTGCCCCTAACGTTTCAGGCTATCGACAAGACTAAAGTATGCGAGACAGTCCAAGAACGCTGTACAGAACTTGTCACTTCGATTCGCACGACAGTCATTACATGGGTGGGGCGCGGCTTGTTTGAGCGTCACAAGCTATCGTTTTTAATCATGCTAACATTCCAGCTCTTGCAGAAAGGGAACCTAAAGGACCAATTTGACCCGAAGTTGATGGACTTTTTGCTGAAAGGCCCCATAAAGCAAGTACCCGAAAACCCTCTTGCTGACTGGTTGCCCAACAAGGCTTGGTATGCAGTGCAAAAGCTCATAGAGCTTCCCGGATTTGAGTCATTTGCCACAAATATGCAAAAGGACGCTCCTTCAAGGTTCAAAGAATGGTTCCAAGAGCTTCAACCAGAAAAAGTCAAGTTGCCCCTTGACTGGAAGGCGCTTGACAACATGCCATTCAAAAAGCTTGTGGTATGTGTTTCACCACGTAAGACGGACTAATATCTGTACACCTCATTTACGCATGTCAGGACAACGGAAATCAGGCTATATATATACTCCTACAGGCGGGATGATACGTATCAATATCCTTCAGGTGCTGCGCTGCCTACGGCCAGATCGGCTGACTGCAGCAATTTCGGATTATATTCGCACAATGCTTCCATACGGGGGGCAGTATTTAGATGGAGACTCTGCGTTATCATTTTATGAAATTTTCGAATCGTCCTTCGAGGAATCTACGGCCACAACTCCAATCTTTTTCATTCTTTCACCGGGGGCTGACCCCGTAAAGGAGATTGAAGCCCTAGGCAAGAAGATGGGATACACTGCAAACTTCAACCTGCACAACGTCGCATTAGGGCAGGCAAGATACACTGCAAAACAGATCCACAACCCAATAAACACTTCGCAAGGAATATATGCTTCGGTGCCTGATAGGCACTTTCTTTTGTGACGCTTCTCGCTCATAAAGCTTGTTTCCGAAATATAAGAGACAAGCTTGAACGTCCGTTGCTATTGTGACTGACCAGGGTCAAGATGTTGTGGCGATGCAAAAGCTGGATCTAGGCCACAAGGAGGGGCATTGGGTCCTTCTCCAGAACATCCATTTGATGCCAAGATGGACAGTGGAGCTTGAGAAAAAGCTAGATTCGTTTTCTGCGGAAGGACCACACCCTAACTTCCGCTGTTTTCTTTCATCTGAATTGTGCGATTATATTCCCGTCGGAATCCTTGACCGGTCAATTAAATTGACTAATGAGCCCCCCCAAGGCCTCCAAGCCAACCTGAAGCGCGCCTTTGCTTGCTTTCCCAAGGACGATTTTGATGAAAAAGACCAAAAGGTGCCTACTGGTGACGGTGTTTTTACTCGCCCTCGCTTATTGATATACCCTTCAGACACAATGGCTCATCCATTTCATACAGGCGATAATGGCGCTAAAACGCGACCTCTTCCTGTGATTTCAGGTCAAAGCCATCATATTTGGCCTTTGCTTCTTCCATGCTGTCCTGCTTGAGCGCAAGAGGTTTGGCACCCGAGGCTGGAATTTGAATTATCCGTTCTCGATGGGTGACCTGAGAGACTCCGCCATGGTGTTAATGAACTACATGGAGCAGCAACAAGGGGGCACCAGGGTTCCTTGGGACGATCTCAAATACATCTTCGGCGAGATTATGTACGGCGGCCACATCATTGACCCTAGGGACCGCCTCGTCTGCAATACCTACTTGAACTTCTACATGCAGGCAAGTTCAAAGAAACTGGAAACAGCTTTTTAAGTGTCTCTTTAGATACAGAGGTGCCTAAACCAGTTTCATATTGGAAGCTCTGCTAACTAGCCTGCATATATGACAGGCTTTCGAAGGGCTAGCGAAACGCCTTTGCTTATATTGTGCCTTCAGGATAGACTTCTAGACGAAACTGAGCTGTTTCCCTTCTGTGAAGAGCACGAAGGGGCCTCCTACAAGACGCCTCCTGCACAGAGCTACGAGAGGTACTATCCATAAGGCACGCTGTAAATAAGGCAGAACTACTGCGTAAGGCGTCATTAGGTGCTTTTTGTCACAATGATCAGTGTCTTACATAAAACTGATCGTTTCATCAGGTACATGGAGTGCGTAGCATCTATGCCACCGGAAACGCCGTTGGCTTACGGGCTGCATCCGAACACTGAAATAGGCTATCGCACCCAGCAATGCGAAGACCTTTTCAAGACCCTCATGGAATCAGAGGGAGCCAGCAGCGGTGCCACAGCAAACAAAGGTGGCGTGGAAATAGAAGGTGAAGCGGTAAGACGTTCACTGCACGGCAGCGCATGAGGAGTACACCAAACGCCGGTGTAGATATGGAGAAAATCGGGCTTAGTCTAGGCACCCAAATGCTCTCCTTGGATAGCAGCCGACACGAATCAAACACGCTTTTTCTTCTTCCTGTAATTTCTGCCACTTGCATACTTTGCAGCTTTGTAAGGAACTACTGGACGAGGTCGGTGACTCCCGATTTGATGTGGAAGAAATCAGCCAAGCTATCCCAGACGAAGAAAAAGGTCCCTACCAGCACGTGTTCCTGCAGGTGCATTCCCCAGTGCAACAGTAACAGAAGCAACACCTGCAGGCTACAATGCACCTGACTTAGTGCAGAACGCTAGCATGATGATTTGGTGAGAGAGTGGTGCGCAGCTGCTCTCTTGCTGGGTCGTGCTCTTCAGGAATGCCAATACATGAATGTCCTCCTTAAGGAAATAACGAGATCTCTTATTGAAATTGAAATGGGCTTCAAAGGAGAACTGACATTCTCGGCGGCCATGGAAGAACTCGTGGAAGATATCCGCATGAACAGAGTGCCGGGCACATGGATGAAGGTGCGCTTTTCTGGCAGTGCTTAGTGTCTCCAACAGTGTTTGGAGCATCATTTCGAGCTGCTTTAGACCTCAAGTTGTTGCAGATGCGCCTTAATTGCTAATAACATGCCTGTCATTGCTTTCTAAGGCTAACGTGGACGTTCCTTTTCAGAGCATTTCAACCGCCACTACTTGTTATTACTTTTACCTTAGTGTGAATATACACTCTTCTTTGGAGAGAAGGACTGAGCGTCTCAGATTACCTTTCAGGGAGTAGGAGACTGGGACTTCCAATTCTTCGTGCTAGCAACGGCAGCTTCGTCAGTAGACTGCAGAGCAAATAAGCGCAAAGGCAGTTCTGTATGCGTGTCCTGCCCTTAGGTTTCTTTTGCATCATGCCGGCCTTTAGGTTCGTGGTTTGCAGATGTGAAACTTCGATATGAGCACTTGATGGAATGGACAAAGGACCCTACCAGCACTCCGAAGGTCGTGAACTTGGCCCGGCTATTTAGCCCGCAGTCATTTCTCACTGCCATCAAAGAAGTTTGCTCACAGCAGCACCACCTAGAGCTCAATAAGCTTAATGTGCTCACTACTGTCACAAAGAAAGATGTGGCATCCATAGACGCACCGGCGCGTGAAGGTCAGCTTTGTGCCACACATGCACAACGTTGCCCTGTCTTCCAGCAGCTGATTCCTCTCACAAAAGCCCCAGCTGCCTTCCAGCATATGCGCGTTTGTGGCTTGTGCATTTGCCGTGAAGTGCTAGAACCCACAGTATAGCGCCATTCTAGAATATTGCACTTATGCAGGAGCGTTTGTGACTGGCTTATACCTTGACGGCGCACGATGGGACGTCCAAGGCGGTTGCTTGGCAGAGTCTAAACCAAAAGAGTTATTTTTCCCCATGCCTGTGATTCATTGCAAGGTAGGCAAATTTTGAGCCATAAACATTGAGAAAAAGTCGAAAATATTGGGGCCAGGGAGCCCACAGCTCAAGCAGTCCAGCTTAGCAGGACCGGCAAAAGGTTCACTGGCTGCGATTTCTTTTGTTGAATCAACCTGTCCCTCTTGCTCTCAGGCGTCCCTAGAGGTGAAACGCGAAGACGATAGCACGTACATCTGCCCCGTCTATTTAACAGAGCAGCGTGGGCCAACATTTGTCTTCAACGCCCAACTCAGAACAAAGCAACCGCCGGCTAAATGGATCCTTGGGGGCGTTGCAATGATCTTGGATGTTGGCGGAGCTGCATAGCATTCAAATTGCGTAAAGCCAAGCACTGGAGTGTGTGATGCAACACGTTCGGCATAGCTGTTGAACCCTCGGCCCTAATCATTAAAGCCTAGGCTCTAGAGCATATTCAGAGGCCAAGAAGACCAATTAAGTTTGAACCAAGAGCAGAAAGCTATGAAGTCCGGCAGTTTTTTTACTTTATTAAGCCTCTGTGCATGCATGTGGTAACCCTACATGCAACCATAAACATGAAGCTCAGCACATCGAGTTACTCAGCAATTGAAGCTCCGAAGGAATACTTACAGAAGGGAAACAATACAAGCAAGAAACGGCAAACAACCATTGTGTCAGCTTGCCTGACTCATTCTTAAACTGCGCAACTTCAACTGTTGACTTTCTTGAGGTGCCGTGGCACTGTCGCTAAGTGAAGATACATTTTTTTCTACGCTTAAGCACCCATATATACAAAAATGCTCGTATATAGCTATCATTATGCAAATTATGTATTACGAATGGGTGTACGCATTTTCATAACATCGCCATGCGTAGGTAGCCCGTTGGCTAGCAACTCACCTCAGTCATTCCAGCCTGAGCCGCTATAACACATAAATCATCTGTTAAGAGCTCCAATTTTTCGCTGCGACAGCGTCATTCCGAGGCCTCGCAGCACACAGAATGCTTCGCGCAAGGCGACTTCCTACTTCATTTCCAAAATGCACCGCACGGCAAGTCGTCCGTTGTGGCTCTTCATTGTACACGTGCAAGACCATGCTACAGCTGGAATGTCGTTGTAACTGTGGATATTAGGTTTGGACGGACTTACACCTAGGCAGGAAAACAACATAGAGATACAGTAGAGAAGTGTCTCCCGTGTCTCCATGTATGGTCGGCGTAATATCGATGCGCGCACCGTTTTTTATTTATCTGTGCATAGCAAGCCATCAAGCACAGAAGAAGTTGCAGGCTGTCCAGTTAGGCCGACTTCCTATTTCTTCCTGCGGAGATAGCTTTTAAGCAGTTGCAGATCTACAGCTAAATGCGTGTTCAAATGCGTTCATGTAAGAAACAATCGTCCGCTTAGCTTTGGCTGTAGGTCAGACACAAAAAGTGTGGGTAAACGCCAACAAATGTTGTATCTCTTTTTAGCTAGACCTAGTGCAGCTGTATAGCTAATGCATCGGCAGATGAAAAGGAATACAATTGCCTGTTCACTAATGTTCACCTTGTGGTACTATATTTAGAATAAAGTGTATTGTCCTTTCAAAATTGCGCTAGATATGCTCCATTTCGTAAATAAACAATGCAGGCGTGTACTGCTGTGGCTGCATGCTCAGCCTGAGCAAGCTGTCTTGGGTTGGTCCACTACGCCGGCGCTCAGTTAACCTTCCCATTTATACGGGAGCTTCTGTTCGATGGACTTCACGCCTGTATGATTTCTACCATGTGTTACAGGACACGGGGAAGCCACTGCACCAGATTTCGGCTACAGCTGGGTCACCGCGTCGCCCACCACCCCAGTACTTTTCAGGAATAACCCATGTTTTGTCTTGCCGCTTGACACTCGTGTTATCTTAAAACTCTGCCCACCAAATGTTTTTCAATATAATTCTCAAAGAATAGGTCCAGGAGTGCGGAGCTAGCATGCTTCACAGATCTGCCGTAGTCCCCTGTGGGCGGGGACGCACGACGACCGTCCTGTTGCTGGCGTTCGCTACCATTTCCCTTTACTTTTTAGTGAGCGGCTTCTTGCAAGTACTATGGGTTACATATTTCAGTGGGGGGTCTACTGCACGTGAGGGCTTATGAAGGGTGCTCTTGTCTAGATGTTTCTCCAACATACTGCACACACAGCCGCAGGCGCCGATGAACATTCCGAAATTATCGAGGTCTCAACCGTACATAAACCTTACGTGCTGTAAATGAGACACATAGCTTTGGGCGTAATGGGAGAAGGCACTTGATTGTGGCCCAGCATCACTCCATGCATCGCCATCCATCATGCACACACCGACACCGACGACAGCACGGCATCAACTTTGCCAATCGTAGCCTACTTTTGGAAACCACTTTATTCGAGTAGCAAGTTTGTATGTAAGAAGGTTATTTGTACACGCACTTCAGTTGCATTGTTGCATTGCTCACACCAATGCTTACTTATTTTTCGTCTGCTGACCCTGTCATCACCAGTTTCACTTTTCTCCATCCAATCGTCATTTGCCGCACAATTCACATTGTCACAAGTCAATAGTTTACTTTCTCCTGCAAGCTGTGCCTCAGCGGGCCATTTTGCCACGCACGGAATGATAAAATTCCACCTTCTGAAGGGGCGCTGCAGACGTTATTCGTACAGTCTTTCAGTGCATTTGAAAACCTTAATTGTCGTTTGCAACTTACTCTTATCTTCCGCTTCAAGCAGCGCGCGAACACGCTGGCTTTCTAGAAGCAATGTGGGAAGCGCCGGAGCTCCCCACATTCCGTAATTCAACATATCATTTGCAGCTCCGAAAGCATTGCCAGCACTCACTAGTTTAGCCTTTACCGCAGCTTTTGCTTCTATGGGCTATCTTGCCCTTTGAAAGAAACAAAAGTAGGCTGCAGCGAAGGGAAGTTCCACAATTGTTTGCCGCATCTACACAGTTACGAGGCCTCAGCTACTGGCTGCAACGCTGTCGCTCCTCGATTCAGGCATATTCGAAGGAGATAAACCTGAAGGTTCGAGAAAACGGTCCCGTTTCTCTAAAGGTGCCACGAACAGACAGAGAGACTGTCAGCAATCGAAGAGAATCAGCCGTCAGAGCTTCTGCAGGAGGTAGGTTCCCAAACGTAGAAAATTATGCAACAGCAGACTGGCCTGTGGTATTCCTAGCTACTGCTATGATTCCAGATAAAAATCTTAGTATATACGAAGACTCAGATCTATGTCTGTAGGCAGAATACCTGCTATAGACGCCTTTTCATGAAAACAAGAACCGTACTACATGCTACAGAACCGAGTACAAATCTATGAACAGGATCGGACACAAGCTCATCTTCAAGCAGCACAACCACTACTACAACGAGCCCTGCGTCTCCCTCGGGACCAACCGACGGGGATGACGGATCTCCAGATGGTTCAGGGGGCTCCAACCCTGGCTCCGACGGCACAACTACTCCGAAGACTCCTCCAGTGGCAAAAATCCAAGTACTTACGACAAAATTCTAATTGATCAGTCTATTGCCCATGCCAGAAGAACAAAACCCTCCTTAGTATACCTCTCAAAGTAATTTGGTTTCTCTTCAAGAACTTAGGGTTTCAGGGCTACGTGTTTAGGATCTACGGATTAGAGGCTTCGGCTGTAATGACGCATTATAAACGCTCTTAACCCCACGGCTCGCAGTAATCGTGTAACTCTCAAACTTGGATGAACCCTATTCTTTATCTCCTTAACTGTGCATTCAGGTCCCTGTAGCGTCGGGCATGTGCAGTGCCATTGTGCTTTCGGCAAAAGGATCCATCTGTATGTGGTCCCCGTTTTCTTGCTGTTGGATCCCGTTCAAGCAGATCCGTGCTTGACATCGTTATCCAGCTAACTCGCCTACACATGGAGTTGAAACTTCCAAACCTTTCTGTTTGAATTTTTGCTATTGGCAGCCTTTACGTTATACGGCGTGTAAGGCATGCGATGCGTTTGTGTATGCAGCTAATGCCTCAGGCGACACAACTCTTACTTATTCGTGGTAAGCGTTTACTTTTCAAACGTCCCGCAAGCCCACAATTTGTCAAATGGTTTGTGCCAGCTAAGTCACAACACCTATGGAGAATGCAGGGAGCACTCTGCGATTCTTCATCCGCTGCTCATTTCTGCAGGAAGAACACAGGTCATGCCTCTTTGAACCTCCAGAACTTTTTACTGACGGCGAACGCGGAGGAGATCACCATACCTAGGGACGTTGTGTACGCAGCGGCCAACGAATATATTTCGCGAAATCTTGGAATCAGCAGCATCGATCTCGAGTTTTCTGTAACTGTAACAGATGTAAATGGCGAGACTGCAACCGGTAACACGGCGCTGTTGCTTACTTTAATATAAGTAACTGCACTTGCGCATATTCCCCCCAAAGAGGCACCTGCAGGGGCATGGACAACAGCAGGATAATGCTACGCAGCGAGATGCATACGCCGTCACCAGCGTCTGCTCACAAACTGCTTGTGCTTGTATGCGAGAAATGTGCTGTGCAGCTTCCGGCACACTCAAGCTATCCCTGACGCTGGAGCCCCCCATCCTGACTCTAAAGTCGAAGGACAACTTTTCGATTCATAAGGGGCAAAGCATTGATCTATCGGTGACAGCTGACTACTGTCCTTTAGTTGCTACAGCGTTCGACTCTGGTGTACTCATACAGTGGGCTGCCAGCTGTGCTGAAGATTCTCGCACAGCTGATCAGCTGCTAAACCTGAGCTCTGACCAGACTACAGCCTCAGTGCGGCCATATACGCTGACGCCGGGATACAAGTACATTGTCAGCGTCACTTTCCGCTATAGCGCAAATGCCAGTCTGAGCGACACAAAAAGCTTTACAATCAATGTGGCGACAGACCAGGTCAAGATACGTTTCCAGTTTGCGCCCTACCCTGAGCCCACATCTTAGGCCAAAAACGACGGCCTCAAAGACTAAACCAAACGGGACCGTTTCGGTCTAGTGCATGCAAAAGATTGGGTTTTCTGACGCTTGGTGGGCTGCTGAGCCCCGTCTCCGAAGTAGCTTTCATAAAACTTATTAAGCATATCCAACTTAAAATACTTAGGCCGTGCATCTACTACGATACATACGAAACCCTCCATATGGTTGAACTGCTGAATATCCGGCGTAAGCGCAAGTCTAAAAGCATATACTTATCATTTCGTACTTTTGTACCGAAAAGTCAGGAGTAGTGATATCGGGTACAAACTACTGCACAGTGTGCTGCTAAACAAGCCGCTCTCACCGACGTGATAAGTGCTACTCCTTATAATAAATAGTATTTTCGATCCAATGAGTTTAGACGAGTCAGGAATGCTGCGGTAAAGCCGCCGCGCAGGCCGTTAAGAATACAGGTTGGTGGCTGTTTCGCAAGTGGCGGCGACAGGCAAGCTCTGTTTTGCCTCAACAAATGAAGGGCTCTTCTCTAGGCTCCTCTGCAAGGCATGACTTGAATGGAGGCAACATACAAATGGGCTTCATACGAAGCCGTCAGCACAAATTTTACATTAACACAAACAGTGTTGCAGATGAAGGCAGCGCGTCGTAGCTGCTGCTACATCACCTACAGCAACAAAGGGGACTGCTGCTACAGTACATGTGCGCAGCATCAGCAACTACTACTTCTGACCCCGCCAGCAAAACTTGCACGGCTTGCGCATGCTCGCAGATTAGTGGCGCCCCCGTACTAGCAAGCGCCGTGTTATCCATTGAACCAAACGAACATTTAGCTCAGCACGTCGCAACTGATTCGCTACTAAAAAGGGTACAACGGAAACAAAATGACTGCGAGAGGGTCGAGATACAAAAGAATACAAAATATGTTCTTAGTGGCACTACACATTGATTAACTAGGGTAGTTCCGCTAACGTTATGACTACACCTGTCTACCGTCCATTTCGGCCGCTGTCTCTGCTAGAGGTATCGTAGCGGAACGATTCACTGCGTTCCGGTACAGCTCGTCCTGGCACTGCTGAAGATGCAGTTGCTGTTGCTGCTAAGGCCGCAGAGCCAGCGGCTGCTGCTCCGAAAATGGCTTTTCTGGCGTTCCTTCGGTCGTCGCAGGCGGAGACACCAACTCCGTGGGGTAGTTCGTCGCTGGGTCTCCTTTGTTCGCATCGGTTCCAGCCTGCTGCGGCTGCTGTGAAAGGAGATTGTCATGCTGCTGCTCGTTAGATCCACCCACGTGATCAGTCTGCATGACACTGCACCACAACTTCTGCTGCTGCTGCCTCTGCGCCAGCAGGAGCTGCTGCTGCTGTTGCTGTATTTGATAGTGCCTCTCCACAGCAAGTTCCTGCTGCTCCTGTTGTTCTCTTGAGCGCAACACAAACGCCTTTAACCGGCGTAAGTTGTCGCCTGTAGGAAAGTCGCTACACGTACATTCAAGGTCACCAGTCTCTGCTGCTGTTGCTGCTGCCGCTGCTCGCTGTCTCAGCAACAACTGTGGCGTCTTCCCACAGGGTGCCTCCTGCTGCTGCTGCTTGGAGCCCTCCAGGACCAGCAATTCGTCTAGATGTAGCTGTAGCAGCTGCATGTACACATCGTGGGTTTCGCTGCGACGGCGGAGGCACGCCGGAACCAAACGGCGGATTCTTCTCACCTCCCCTCCCTCCTTCCCTTTAACCCGCGAAAGAGGCAGTCCTGTAGCAGTACTTGCAGTACCTGCAGCTGCCGCCGCAGGCGCCACAAACACCAGCCCCCCCAGCTGCAAACCCTCAGCGGCAAGCTCAGACCTGAGCTGTAAGGCAGGCAGAAGGCCCCTTCCTTCACTGTACAGAATAATGCTCTGGGGGGTTTGCTGCTGCTGCTGTTGTAGCCAAAGGAAAGCTGCGCGAATATCTGTGTTCACCCCAGTTGTAGATGGCCGGCACAGCCTTCGCTGCTGCTGCTGTTCCTGCTGTTCGGAATGGTTCCTGCGAATGGTGCAGCAGCAGAATCCATAACCGGTGTACTCGTAGCCCAAGACATTTACGCAAAGAGAGCGGCACAAGAACAAAAGCAAGGGGTACATACGCCCCAAGTCGCTGTTGCTTCGGTGAGACACCAGAAGAGTTTGCCTGGCGGACGGATGGCGAAGGAACAGGGCAGGAATGATGCTGCCACTGGCTGTTTGGAGCTGCAGCACCTTGAGGCTGATAGTGCAACTGTTGCTGCACCTCCAGCAGTCTACGCAGGGAAATCGGCTCTTGAAGCTGCTGCTGCGGCTCATATGGAGTCGCAAGTTTCTGCTGTTGCTTTGCTGCAGCTGTCGTGGATCTGCTGTGTCGGCATCCAACGTAGCTGCAGGGGCTACTGCTGGTTTCGAGGCATTAAATGAAGCAATTTCGCTGTCACTGTCGTGAAAACTATTGCTGCCCTGAGACGAGCAAGAGGGCACGTGGAGCAAATTGCTTGACGAAGGCATCGAAGCTGGGGATCGGGGGGCCTCTTTCGTGCAGCAGAAGAAGCAGCTGCTCCAAGAACCTGCAGCAGCAGCACAGCCAGGGCACAACACCGCTGGCTGCTGCTGCGGCAGTTCCTGCTGCTGCTGAAGCATGTAGCAGCTCAGCTGAGGTTCTGTACTGCCGAGCTTGGGGGGCCTTGGAGTGCCAGCGCCAGCGCTGCGAGAGTTGCTCCTGCTGAAGCCCCTGCCGCTGCTGCCGCTACGCTGGCTTAGAAATCTGCGGCTGTGGCTGCAGCGTATTTCGTAGCTTGTAGCAGCGCAGTCTGGGGGCGTCCACGCTTGCCGCGCGCGCTTGTTGCAGGGCACACACAGGCAGAACCCTACTGGTGCAGGGGCTTTGGTCGTCTCATCCCCTCCCATCGTCTTCCGTGGACGCTACCACCTCTGTTGCTTCGGGAGTCAGCCTCGTGATATTGCTGTCCTTGTGAAGCTTGCCCTCCCGGTACTGCTCGGACAGCCGACACTGTCGCTGCTGGCGGAGGTGTTCGTTGCTGACTGGGTTGCCCAACTTGTCCTCACCGCTCTCACTAAAGAGTAAATTGTATTTGAGTGTTCATTTGCTTGGCAAATAGGCGGTGTACATCGGAATTCCGTAGTGGCGGGCGCGGCTGGTGCAGCTGATGCAGCTGCTGGCGCCCGTATGTCCAACTCTCCAAGTGTGCCGCCTGGTTAGCTCAGACTCGCACTTAATGATTCATGCTAATCCACAAGAAAAGCTACAGTGGTGATTATAGTTAGTCACTGCAGCCGCTGGTGCTGTTGCCGCCGTTGCCGAGCTGTGACTGCTCAGCAATCGGTGGAATGCACTCAGCACTGCAGCTGCAGCTGCCGTCGCTGTTATTATTGCTGTCTCTGCTGTAAATCGTCCTACAAGGTATAAAAAGCCTGAAGAGCCACAAGAGATTTGATGCAACACCAGGTAACAACAGGTCTTGCTTCTCCTGCTGCTGCGGTTGTTGTACCGTCGGCGCCCGGCGCCGCCGACTACTGCGCCATCCAGCCCGCACTGCCCTGCATGCAGCAGGAAAAACGACAGCAAGAACAGCTACAGTTGCTCTTCGCTGCTGCAGCCTTCCCAAACTTCAGAAGCCATCGTATTTGCTCTTCACCTTCATATTTACCAGTAGTAAGAGACCCCATGGATTTCTATATATGCCTCACACTTTTCGCGCCGGGTATTCATCGAGACCACCAGCTCCACCTGCCGAAGCAACAACGCCTGCTGAAGTAGCAGCCAGCATATCAGCTCCAAATTCAGTCTCAGCAGAACAGAGCCACATGCATTCCAGCAGCATTATCCGCCGCTGCATGGATATCTGTGGTTAACAGGGACGGCGGCGCGCCACTCAGCACAGGGAGGGAGGAATTTCAGCGTTCTAAAAATGTACGCATCGGCCTGTGCAACCCCAGCAAGGCTGTATTCGCCGCAAGCATTTTTACTGTGCATCGTTATCTCCTCCTCCTGAAAGGACGCCCTTGACGGCAGAACATCGCCGCTCCTTTATCCTCTTCTCCAGAACGGTCTCTGCCTTCACACAACTCTGCTGCAGTCGCAGAAGCAAGAACAGAAATAGTCAAGGCTCTCAGCGCAAGGCTACTCCAGGCTTTACAATTGGCCCAGAGACACTGCGACTGCTACGACTGCAGCATCGAAAGCAGCTGCAGCAGAAGCAGCTGCGGTAGCTGCAGCTACTATTCTATTCGCAATGCACAACACGGAAACACCAGGTATAGTGGCAACGTACCGACATACACAGCAGCTGGCCCGCATACGATGATCAATCGTACCGAAAGTCTCAGCTGCTGAAATTCCTCTGCGGCTTTTAGTGCGCCACTGAAAGCGTACCAAAACTCAAAGCAGTTGGACCAAACATGTTGTCTTTGGTGCTGCTGATCATGAGAAAGTGCATGAGCCAGTAATGCTGCGCATGTGGCTACGGGGCGTGTATCGCTACGGGGCGTGTATCGCACGCTCGGTATTCACGAAGTTTGTTTCTTATGTTTCTTAATCTGTGTACTTCGCATTTTGTGTTGATCTGAATCTGCACAGATGGAAAGACGCCACTGAGCGGCAAACGGGTGCGTCAGCTTGGGGGCAGTGTGAGTGTGGCTGACATTTCAGTTTGAGAGAATTAACTGATAGGGAAGCCGCTGCATACTCAGTGTGTGAGACACGTGGAATCTATGTACTACCCCAAATATTCCAAATACCGATATCCTTGTTAGTTTTAGGTGGATTCATCATGCGCGGTTGTTGATGCAACAGCATTGCAACTCCTCACATTCTGCACCTCAAAGCCCTGGTGCTCTACAGCAACAGGAGGTGGAGGAGCAACGGAAGCAGCATCAGCGAGATCATCAGCAACAAGAGGCTGTTGACCTGGGTAAGAACAAGGCTACGCTACTGCGTGTAACGGCGCCACCATGTCATCACTTTTGTGGTCTTCACGGAGTCGGTTCTTGGGGAGTGTCTTGTTCATGTTCTATCCTGTACACTTTGCATGCACTTTTTGTTTACAACACTTAGTTGTGTTTCATCATTGAATGTGCGTTTTTTACTCCAGGTCACCGTTTGTGGGAGGGGAACAAACGAAAGGCCGGCAGCGAAAATGACGTGCCCAGGGACAGTAAGCACCAGGCCTTTGCGTTTAGGGTTTCTGACATATATTCTTGTTTAGTACTGTGCGGAGTAGAGGTTTATGCAGCTGCTCAACTCAGTCTTTGCCTCATGCCTTACCGACGGCGCTAGTAATATTCAACTAGGCCAATTGGTTGGCATAAGGAAAGGCTAATCCTCCATGATTTTGTGTTATTTCGCCGCAGTTCAATCACTGGGCATAGGTCTTTTGGCCTTTTTGTATGCAGCGGCTGACTGGGATTTGCTAAGAAGTTGGCTGCCGCCGCAGCTGCGAAAATCGCAGCAGAAAAAGCTGCCATAAAATTTCTCCTTCGGAATATGTTACCACGTCATGGCGCCTTACGTGCTCACACTTTTTCAAAAGTTTCGTTCTATTTCTTGTACAAACCACGTTTATTTTTCGCTGTCAAAAATACCGAAGCCCAGCACAGCCGACTCTCCAATGCTACATTAGCTCGTCGGTTTTACCAGGATCTCTAAAGTCCTCTGGGGAGTAAGATTGTGGATTTAGTTCTTAGGGTCTGTGGCATTCAGTAGCGGCCCCTGGTACGGCGCAGGGGGAGACATAAGAAGGCAAGCTGTACCGCTGGCTGCAAACTATTATACTGACGCAGCGATATGCTCACGTATTTTGTTCATATGCAACTATCACTGGCCACTGAATAGGGTCTAGTCGTATTTTTCAGAAAGCTTCACGAATTTAAGATATAATTGCAAAGCATCGAACCTGGTGTGTAAATACTGTATTCGGGAGGATAATGTGTAAAATTTACGATCTACATTTTAATTCATAGGAGGCTACTGGAGGGCCCACAAAGGTCAGTCGTGTGTGTGTGCCGGATTTTCTTACTTACCTCTTTGTCCCGAAAAGCGCCATATCTGGGCATTTAGAGGACTTTACTTGGCATCGCTCGCGACACGAAAGCAAATTGACACTGGCCACCCACCGCTACTTCAATTTTCTAAGTTCATTTTTTAACAGCCCCGAGTGCCACGTATGAGTCGTCCAGCGAATGCTGCTGAGTCACTGCACTGGGCTTTGTCAAGAAATGCTACGGGCCTTCAGGTTTCAGGGGAACCTAGATGCTGTTTAGCTCGTTTTTATTGAGAAGCTCAAGTTGCTGCAGGTGTTACCGGAATCGAGAACTATGGCTTCTCGTGCATTTCCGTCCCTGACATTAAACGGCAGCTGCAGCTTTGGTGATAAGGTTTCGTTGTATAGATTTTGGCAGGAAAAACGCCGGTGCTGCAGAGATATTGCCTTGCCCACCAGAAGACTGATTAGTAGTCACGAATCCTGTACCTTACAGCCCCTGAAAGTCGATACGTTACACAATGCTGTCACTTGCAATTCGACGAATTCCGAAGGGGTAAAAGCGATGGAGTGCTTTGCACGTTGTCACAATCCGACAAGCCGCAGTTTCCGAGGAGAGTAGGAATCAGTCTAGCCTACACATGTATGGTTTTATGAGGTGCTGGTGGCATCTTTGAACACACATGCAGTGTTGGAGTTTCTACGACGGAAGATTGCAAGTCAAAAATGTCCGGTGCATGGGAATATCAAAGCATCGTTTTCAGGAGGATGGCACCACAGGGCTCAAAGTTTATAACTGCAATTGTATTTATATTATATGTTTGTATGTATATTGTCAATGGCCTTTCTTGTATTGGAATCGATTGCACATACAAATGAGACGACCATGGGACGCTGCACGTTGTGGGCACAGTCCTGTCGTCAAGATCCTGCGCACATCCGTATTACCAAATCTATTTCATCTCCATCACAACTGCTTCATCTCCAGTGATTTCTCGCCTGGATAATGAAGCTTCAAGATGTGTATTTTATTGACTTCCGCGGCAGGCAATGCTTCGGAGCAAGAAAAAATGCGCTATATAGTTCATTCACTGTTCCTGAGGGCTGCTAGTCCCAATTTCGTCTTCGTTTCTTGGGTTTCTCCCTAAATTTAGAAAGTTTTAACTTCTTTCACGGATCACAGCTCTGAGTTTCTCATGAGAACCGAGTCGTCTCCAGTGGGCATTGTTTTCTATAGGCAGATAGGCTCATTACAACCAGAAAAATGATTGGCCCCATACTAACAAAGGTGGTGGGTGAAGTATAGCAAGGCGGACGAAACTCCAGTGCGTCGCAGCAGGACTGCTGGTAGTGTGCTTCACCAACCCCCCGATAGAGTAGTTGCAAAGAAGGCCACGTGGAAGCATCGAAGAATGCCAAGAAGGTAATCTTCCCGGTGCAACAGAGGCATTAAGAAGGGGAACAGAGAATCAGAAGATAACATTACACTCCGCCCGTCATTCGCCGCCCGGTTGGTGGGAGGATGTGGCTCGGGCTAATCGTGGGGATCTTCGGGGCCTCCTTCGTTGCATGAATTTAGCTACTTGAAAACGCTCGAGAATCTTCGAAGGACTGCAAGGCTTATGAAATCACGTATAGCTGATGCAGTCAAGTCGTCAGTTTTCGTTACAGAAGCAGGCCTGTTTCGGTCTTCCTCCGTAAGTGTGCCGAAACGAGATCATCTTCGATCCCCGACGCACTTAACTTTTAGTTACATTTCAACTTTGCATAGTAATTCCGCCTGAACACCAAGAGGCTTTCCATAAAAGGTGACTGACAAGTAAAGGCGCGATAAAGGGCGTTCTTAAGGTCACCTCAAGGTGTCCTTGGGTGGAGGCGCCGAGCTTCTTCCTGCGCATATTAGGAAACGACATCACCAATTCCAACGTATCATTTTGATTTATCTGATAACGAGAACGCTGGATATCGCTGACGGGATTGTAGAAACCACAACCTCTGTGAAGCACCAGGAAGAGCAGCAGAAAAGGGATTAACCAACCTTCAAGCAGACCACATGTTCACGGAGACGCGATGACCTTTGTTGTTGGTACGGAGACCGACGAGGAGAAGGAAAAGGAAATGCATGCAAGGTCGGTGTAATAACGGTAGGTAAACCTGTAAACAGGGGGTGGCCCGGGGGCCCCCCCTTGACTGTTACCTCATTTTGATGCCTTAGGCAAAGACGATGAGCCGGAGCACCAGAGCAACTCACAGAGGGCCCCCAATAAGAAGTAAAGGGCTCTTCTCTGGAACGCTCGATGGTCACCTCGCTGTACAAACGGCCAGCAGGCAGCCAGATTGGGCAGTGCCACCTGGTGCTCCCCGACGAGGTTCAGGAGTGATTGGCACCAGCAGCAAAGTAACGCAGCCATCAGATAACAGTAGGGCATCCTGCAGCAGCAGCACCAATGGCTGCGCAGATCGCACGGCGCACATCAGCTCGGGAAGCATACTGGGAAACAAGACTTCCCTAGAGAAGAAAACCCCCCGCGCCTCTCAAAGAAGAGAGCCTCAGCTGCATCATTTCACAGGTGTTAATATAATGCAGGCTGTTGAGTGCCTAAAGGAATCCGCCAGTGGCAGCAGCAGCAAGAACTTTCCACATCAACTGCGTTCCAGCCAAATTGAGGACTCTCCGGCTTCACCTGTGAACAAGTTGCAGGATACTCAAGCAACGACACTCTCTGGTATTTCTGATTCAGCATGCCTTCTACAATGCGCAGGCAGCATGTCTGCCCGTCGGCTTCTCGGATGCCGTGGAAAGAAAGAGTTAACGTCGGACTCAACAACAGCGCCGGAGGGCCTGCCGGACAGCTTCTCCCTCGGCGCGATATGCATGGGTACGGCGTTTGCTTCGAACTTGCAGGAAGACTGCACGGTAAGGCATGCTGCCAAAAGTACGCCCAGAAGGAGCGAAAGAGGGGGCCCTGTCAGCGCACGCAAGAGCTACGATTTCGCTGAAACCCAAGAGAAACAATATATGGGCGATGGGGAGTTTGAAGAAAGTGGTCAGACGGTTTTGCCCAAAATGCGTAGAGGCTCCACTTCGCTTATTCGGCCCTTGCCAGCACAAGTTGATCGCTCTGAAGTCCTCAGCGAGGGGCCTATTGAGGATCAAGAAAGCACCCAAGAACTTCCCGCTGCTTCACTTACCAGCAGCAGCAGCCGTCGCAAGATCCGTACTTCTGAGAACGTGGATAAGTATTACGTGGCACTCACAGGCAGAGACAGTACGGACGGAAAAAGTGAAAAAAACAGCATCAACGGCAACAGCAACCAAGACAGCAATAGCTGCAATAGCAGCGATGGCAATAGTGGCAGTTCTTGCACCATCAGTAGCCTTTCCAGAGAGCTTCTGCTCAAGGAATCTTCTGGATTGTCTTTGGAAACTCGTGAACAGCTCGTCACAAGGAGGCAACATGCTACATCGGGTATAACCCCAAGGGCTGAAGGAGGAGAGGTATGTGCGGCAGTGGCAGACAGCTTCAAGGAAGCCCTCTCCATCCCATCTACTACCAAATATCACAACACTTCGCCTACCGCCCCTGGATTTCATAGCTATGGAGCGCACGCTCTGCCGTGGCAGGGAAGCAGTGCCGGCACCATTAGCGGGACCCACAATACCAAAGAACAGAAGCTGCGCAGCCACAGCGAGAGCGGTAGCAGCAGCAGCACTGAAAGCAATGCTCCTGCAGATGAAAATAGAGAACATCCACCGAAGGTGAATGCGCAGTACGTCGATTCCAAGTCCAGCAACTGCAGCGGCTGCAATAACAAGAGCGACACCAGCGGCTGTGGTAAATATCAGACTAACAGTCCCACTGACGCTCTTGCCAGCGCCCGCGAGAGGGACCCTCCTTCAACAGAAACCCTTAGAGGAATTCCGAAGGAATCAGCAACACAAATTCCTAGAAAGCGAGCAGGACGTATGAAAGGCAGCTCTGAACAGAGCTCCTCAGCGTGCTTAGGAGGTTGGAAAGGACACCAGAGTTGTAAAGGTCTAAGGGCTCCCAGAAGGGGAGCTGCATCTGGAGTTGCAGCTGTAAGGATGCTTTCAGCACTGGGTGCTCCCGGCATGATCTTTCGTCCAGACAGAACAGACCAAGATGGCAACGAGTCACCTGTCAGCAGTCAGAGCAACAGTGATACTGACGAGGTACTGAAAAGGGATGGTGCGTCGGTGCCTCAACGAATAGGGGCGTCAAACAGGCCGTCGGTTTCTTTGGGATCTGCTCATGAGTAAGCAAAACCGGATACTTTTCAGTAGCTTGAGAAATTCATTTTTCATGTCTCCTGATGCCCCGCAGAGTGGTGCGGTACCCTTCATTGCTGTTACACACCGTGCAGCTTCAGAGGAACCTCTACACACAGGATGCTGGGCAGATCGACAGCAGGTTTCTACTGCTGCCGTTTTTCTGGTTGTTGCTGTTCGTGTTTACCGTGTAGAGGATCTACTGACCTTTCATGGCTGTACGAAGTCACGGGAATACGGGATGCGTCAGAAGCAAACTTGGTCGATTCGCTCGAATTAATCATGGATAGGCCGCTGAACCAGACGACACTTAACGCCCTCGGTACATTCGGTTGTCTGCGGGAGCTAAGGCTTGTTCAGCAGCACATTCAAACCCTTGAGTTCGTTGGAGTTTGCAAGAGCTTGCAAGTACTTCACCTTCCAGAGAATCAAATTGAGAGACTTGAAGGTACTTCAGCTCTAATACACGCAGCTTCTGCAAGATGTATGGGACACGATGAGCGTACGACAAGTTCCTGCGGCTCAAGCTCTCCGTTTTACGCCTGTCTCTCCTTCGTCATAGAGTCTTCCGCTCTGCTTAGCTGCGCCAGGCTTCTCCGTAGTACAACCAGCTGAGTTCCATTTGTGTAGAGGGAGCTAGGCGTATACGTGCGTTCCTGTGTTTTGCATTGCTTTAAGGAGTTCAGTCGTGTAAGTTTCTGGAGGAGCTAGACCTAAGTGGCAACCTTATATCGGACTTAGGCTCCCCGGAAGAGCCCCTGCATATATCTGCTTCTTCTCCTGGGACACAGAAGAGCCCCTTGGAAGGGCTTAACCGCCTGCACACGCTGCGGCTTAACAGCAACAAACTCCGAACCCTGCGAGGCATCGAGTACCTCGTGAATCTGAAGGACTTGCAGGTGGCAGATAACGAGTTGACGCATGTGGGTGCAGCCCTCAGCAATAACAAGAACCTAGAAAAGTTAAACATTGCGGCAAACTTGTAAGATGCGACACGATGATGCACCCTGCAATTCCAGTGCTAGACTTCAGCGAAATTGGCACAACAATTCACAAAATGAAAGCCCTACAGTGTTACTTCTGTAAAACTTCTTGTGGCTTAAGGCAGTCAATATAAAATGCTCATCTCTGTCCCAAAATTGCCAAGCTTTCCTTCTGTTAGTGGTCGTATGGCCATTTCCCTCGCAGTACATAAATTGTTCCCCTCTGTTAGGAGTCATAGGAGCGTCTCTTCCTCTCCATCGCATAAAGCTTTCGTATGGTTTGGTTTGTCCTTCAGCATTTGGTCTTTGCATGAAGTGACCCTTCTCTCTCAACTACCTCGTCTCCAGTCTCTCCTATTTTCGGACGTTCACTTTCTTGCAAGACAAAACCCTATATGCAGACTAAAAAATCACGAAATGTTTGCTCTCTACCACATACCGAACTTGAAGGTGAGCGGCAGGACTCTCCACAAACGCAGTAGTTTGGCTTTCGAGTAGCAAAGCATGAGGTTATATGGGGAGATAGCCTCTCAATCGGGCTTATTTCGCCTTCTCCACGTAGCATTCAGCTGTTCTGCTCTAATAGCAGCAGCACATTACTCTAATTATACGCTATGGTGACGCCGAATGCTTCACTCTGTATTGTATTAGAAACATCAGACCCCGTAAGGCTACATCGCCAAAGGCTCATCTAAGAACGTAGCCTTAGGGCTGTACAATTAGGCAAATTTGGGAGTTCTGTGGCTTGTGGAGTGAGTATATTAGTTAGTATTTGTGCAGAGTGATAGACTAGAAGCGAGTACGCTGTGGCAAAATGCACAAAGAAAAGGAGCTGCGAACAAAACAGTTCAGTGCCCGGAGATGCAGATCGCATGAGCAAGGACTGGCATCAGTTAGAGCGCAGCAGCAATACCAACGCCAGAAACAACAAGGCACGTGAAGTGAGGCACTATTTGTGCAACCTGTGGCCTCAGGCTCTAAATCAGACTGTACTTGATGCCGGTGACTCCGCGTTTGTCGCTTCAACCTACCAAAGAAAACGACTTTATTATTTGCTCGAGCAACAAAAGACAAGACGAGAAGCTAGAGATGCGCTGAAGGACCTAGAAAGGCTTCACGGGAAATTCAGAGTCGCCATTAAACAGGGAAGAAGTTTTTCTGTAAGCGAAAAACTGAGGCCTTGAGGATCCGTGGAGCATGTATTCCCTAAAACTCTTCATCTACCGTAGCTGCATGCAGATCTTTTTGTGGCTGTGATTACCAAGTAGCGATACGAAGAATGTTCCCGCAGCACTACCTCAATTTTACGACTATCAGATGGCGTGTGTGGCCATTTTCACGTTTTTTATCTTAGTCAGTGCATTGTCTATACAGTTGGAAAATGGCATCTTCCCAGCGATCCCTCTTACGCCATTTCTACAATGCTTTTTGGTCAATTCTCAGTGTGGGGGGAGATTCACTTTCTGTTCACTAGCGGGACCCAGCATGATATTTGTAGCCACTTTAATGCAGCGTCGCCTTCCCCGCGTCAGTTTCACAACTTGCTGGTGCGCCCTCTGCTTTCCTAGGATCTAGTCGTAGCACGGGGAGGGCTCTGCGGCGGCGCGTCTTTCTTTCGTTGGCTTGCCGCTGAGGTGCGAAGGAGGAAAGAGACGATAATGAGCACGAAAAGAAAAGAACTGGAGCGGTTTGGAAATATACATCTTGAGCTCGGTGATCCTAGTAAGAACTGGTCGGTCGTAAGCGTTTTTCAGGGTCTGTCTGTTCCTTGAAGAAGACGCTTTTAGTTACAAACCATTTTTCCTCCTTGTTCCCGTTTCTCTTAAAGTTCTGAGCTGCACATAGGTTTGCTTTGTGTCATTTTCTACTTTTCTCCCTGCGTGACTGCCTTTCTCCGTCACTTTACTGCGACTTCTCGTCAAATGTTTAACGGTGATGGTTTTAAGTTCATGCGTACAACCACAAGTACTCCTGCACTCTTGCCGGGGGAATATATGTGTTGTGCTTGAGTTCGTGAGTACACAGTTGAGAATGTCGAAATACTTGAAACTCTTGAAAAAATCCTGCGTGCAGCCTCCTAGTGTGTCTTGTGTGCATGAAGAGCATACGTTGCTCTCACAAATATGGGCTGACTCTATGTTCTCTACAGAAAAAGAGCTTCCAACTACGTCATCATCATGGGTCCTACAACTGTTATCTTTCTGTGGGAAATCCCTTTGCGCGTGCGTTATCAGGTACCGCCGCGCTGCCGATTTCCTACTTCATTCTTTTTCAGCAGGTGATTTCTCCCAGTTCGGATTTAAGAGCGTTCGAATCATTAGCGTTCAGCGTGTTGTCAACAGAGAAGCAGAGGCAGCTTTCGAGCTACTCAAGTAAGAACAGCTCATTTTTCGACGCGTCGGTGTGTTGCTTGCTGCCAGATATTGTGTTGCTGGGAAAAGTAGCAAAGTGACGCTGCGAAAAGTGTTTTTGGATGCTGTTACTAATGTTGTTAAGGGCGAAAGCGGTACAGTTGCGAATAAGCTTGACAAGTTATTGCGCGTGCGGCTAAGGCCAATCGATTTCAGAAATAGTGTATTGAAGTAATTTGGAGGATGTTATGCGTTTATCAGTACAGCAAATGTGACTTATCCCGCTTGATTGTGTTGGGTGGAGTAGGTGCACTTGCGGAGTGGATAGCGTAGGGGACTGGGTCCTTTGTGGCGCGGATCCCAAGAACCCGTCGGGGCTACTTGGGTATGTCCAAAGGGACACTGGCTTTTCCTTTTGGCTCCGTCCTCTTTTTACGAACTCAGTGACACGCTGCACACAGTATGCGCAAGTTGGCTTGCTCACTCTTCGGAAACAGATTTGTGCTGTGCAGATAGATAGCAGCAGGCCTACAACTAAAGTGAAGTTGCCTGTATGAGTAGTCACACACATAGACGAGGGTAAAAGCTCAGACTACTTTCTTTTGTCTTCCCAGGCAGTGCACAACGGCTATGTTCGGAAATTTATTTGCCCAGCACGGTGCGCCTTACACTGGCCAGTTTGTAGTCGCGTCCAACGGCCTTGCGGAGGCGGACCTGCCTAGATTACAGTGAGGGCACAGTAAACGCACAACTGTCATTTGCTAATTAGGCGCTTACTCTGTGCTTTGCTCATTTTACGAATTGTTAAAGATCCCTAACTTCCTGCGCATCGGCCTTCAAATTGTAATGGGATATGAAAAAAGGGTCCTCTCCGGGTCTGTTGCCACTGCGCAGAAAGGCGAAGCCACCTAGATTATGTCACTTATGCATAGTGCCTTAGGAGGAAAATGTTAGTTCTGTTTGAAATTTCCTAGGAGCAAAGTTGCCCATGTTCCTGTCTACAGCGCATTGGCGGCAAATGAGACTTTCCAGGCGATTGCTAGGCAAACGCTTGAACTCGGTGAAAAGACTCGAAGCGCCTTAAGCGGCCTTCCACTGAATGAAGCATGTCGTTCTGACTTATCACCTTCCACTGGAGAGTGCAGAGAGTCGAAGGAAAGCACAGAAAAGCCAGTTTCCAGCCGACTGCTGCCGCAAGCAGTAAAGAATGGGCGGATGCTGCTACCTGATGGGGAGGTGCTGCTCTGCCGCCCCCTTTTGCACGAGCCCCTAGCAGATACGCCATTATGGTACAAGCCGGAGGACATGCCAAAGCTTAGAGACCAATGTCCCACGAGAGGAGTTTTCAACGTCGCAAAGGAGCACTACAGTGAGACAAATATTTTAACAGGAAAAACAGCTAGCTGAGCCGACAATTCATGATGACATAATTGCCCGAAAACTTTATACAGTTCCCAAACAAGCACTGTCCTCCTCCTAGCAAGAGGCGCCATGCCGTGTGCTTTATTTGGATATCAACACTACACTTGCATATGCACGTATGAAGCTGCATCCAGAAACGGCGGAGCCTTTGCGACGGCATTCCAAAATATCTAGGCAGTCACTTGTGAGTCGTATTCAGAATCAGGGAGTGAAAGTTCCGCTTCTTCCATTACCTGTGCGCTGGCTCCGCGTGGCCCGACAAGTGTCTACAGGCAGCGATTTTGGAACCCACAGATGAAAACGTGGTACTCTTACTGACGCTCTATATTGCTAACACCTCTTCGTATGCACATTCTTCAAGCCAGCTGCTCCATGCTTTCGGGGCTTGTCCACTGTTTCTTCGTTGCAACCATATCAACTGTACTAGCATTCACAAACGGGTTTTGGTAGACGACTCAGCTAGTGAAAGCAGGTGGCTCCGATGACTTGGTATTACAGCAGGCACTCGGTAAAAATGAGCTCCATTTACAACATTTTAATCCGAATTGTTTCGGCTTCCACGCTAATTTGAATTGCATGGCACAACTATATTCAAGCAAACGCTTCCTGCGTTGAGCTTTCCTGAATCGCCCAGCCATCTCTTTAAAGTTGACTCGGACGCGCTTCGATTTTTTTCTTCCGCATATTTCAGGTGGTTTTCTGAGCCTCGCTGCCTCCTTCCACACTTTCTAGTTCGTTTTTCGTACTCATATGATTTGCCTGATATGGCAACCCTTCCCAATGCTTCTGGGGAGTCCACAGCGCGAGAATCGTCACGAACAGCACCCGCAGCGCCCAAATCGCCACCTCCAGCCGCTGCGTCAACGCCCTCACCAACGCCAGCTGCTCCTCTAGTCGCAACTTTGGGTACTTCGCAGGAAACCGCAGCAGTTGTTGCGCCACTGCAGTGTCAGGAAGAGGCAGGTGACGCGCTCATCTCAAAGACAGCTCCTCAAGGATCTCAAGTAGCTCCAGCAATTTCCTCAGAGTTAAATGAAGGCGGTCAAGGAGCTCATCCAGAAACTCGTCCTCGCAACAGCGCGGTGCGAGAACCAGGAACGGGTTCTCCCTTCGTAGATCTTATAAAGTACGTAACTCACGGATTAACTGCAGCATTTAGAAGGCCTTGACGCATGCGAGGCATTCTAATCTGCGCCCCGTTTTCCCCCTGCATCAGCTATTTGAATAAGAGAGTCTGTTGGAGTACTGAATGCGGTTTATGGATTTTTCAAGGTCTTTCTACGCTGTTGGGCATCTAGAAGTGCTATCATGGTCTGCGAAGTCTATGTTTGCTTCAGTATGGCTAAGCATCTCCTTTCCATTCGAACGAAAGAACTCTTAAAACTAAGGGAACCCCCTTGGCTATGCGAGTCATCTGATCAGGGGAGGGTCGGCGCAGCCAGTCACGAAATCTTAGAAGAAGTTGTTTTTGGGGAGGACCACTTGCAAGAGGTCCTACAAAATAGTTTTACACGGCGGCGAACCAGTGCCGGCGGCCCAGCTATCGAGCCCCAGCAACCGCCCTCAGCCCCGCAAAGCCCTCTTGGAGGACTGAGAGCCGGTGAATGCCAAGCACAGCTTGACCGCAATGGCGAAGTCCTGTCACTGAGCTTGAGCAGCAACGCGCATGTTATTGCCTTAAGCCGAGGAGTTCTCCTGTCGTTCCTCAAGCTTAGGGTGCGTTTTGGACGCGAAAGTAGCTGAGTGGTAGTTAGCAAAACGCCCATGAAAGCAGGTGTAGGGTACCGGCAATCATTCACATTTATTGCTGCAGAAACAGTCTTCACATATCATGTAAAGGAACAAATAGTGGTGCTCGACTGCTACAGCTGAGCTTACGTACACGCAGCAGGCAGCTTAATCTTCATTTCCAGTTAGCATGCTGCAATCTAGTGGCTCTTGTGCTCCGCGGTAGCACATTGGGTTTGGGCCGAAAGGTTAGCAGAGTTCAGCAGCTCGCAACTTGTCCAGGCACAGAAGTAGCAACCAATGCTCCTAACTGGAAACTTTGAAATGCCAGATTCGAACGATGTGTCTCAGGTCCTTTTATTACCCCTTAACGGGATCCGCAGTTTTGAAGCCCCTGACAAGCGTGTCACTGCTTCATACCTCTCCGGCTCTCCTAAGGCCTCTTTTACAGAGTCAAAGGAATGCAGCAAAATAGAAATGCCTCAGCTGAGGGTCCTGGACTTGAGTTTCAATGAACTTTGCACTCTGGACGGTTTCTGGAACACCCCGCGTCTGCAGCAGCTATGCCTTGTTGCCAACCACCTGCTGTTGCTGTCTGATCTTGCACCCGTCGGTCCGATCATCACTGGATCCTAAATGCTTCAGCACTATTCAGATAAATCCAATACAGGGAAAGCGCAAGACGACAGAGAGGAGCTTTCTCGTAGCATCTATTTCCCCACCTCATGACACCGCAGCTAAGCACGTCAAAAATAACGTAGCGGCGACTTCACACACGTGGCATGCCAGACCACACGCTTCAGCCTTTGAGGCTCATGCCCAGAGCAAACCATGTTTTAAGGTGCCTTAGAGTTACGAAAGCATTGCCTTGAGCAGCTGATTGAAGGCCAGGTAGTCTTGGAATTTCACACGGTAGACAGTTCTTCAGATACACCTTTTGTTGCAGGCACCGCTGCTCCTCGGCTGCGACAGCTGTGGCTTGCGGGGAATCCCCTACACCTGGGCGCGCACACTGCGCAACAGCTGCAGCAGCTGCTACCGGCATTGGATCTGCTTGACGGTCGAGCGTTGCAATCCCCTCCAACGTGTCTCGTAAAGTCCCCAGCTTCTCCGCATGAACCCGGCAAAGGAGTTGTTGAGCAGGTCTCCCACTGCGTCACCAGCTCTTCGATGACGCAGATGCAATCGGGTGTTGCCGAGCCTCGCAGCTGGGCAATTGCAGCTGCTGCGCAGATGTCTTCTATGGAGGAGTCGCAAGGCCAGAGATACTGGTGCGCCAAGTGCAGGAGCACTTATGCATTACTATGTGGGGGAGAAGTGAGGTCTTATATACGGTCCACAATCTCCGCTGTGCAGTATGACTCCATGTTCACCATTTTTCAGCAAGACACGCTTGCGGGCTTCATATGGATTCACGAACAGAAAACATGGGAAGGCACCTAAGGGGCGTCTAGCTTTTGCGAAAAGTTTCCTTTTGTCGCTTTTTCAGTACGTGTAAGGCTGAGGACGCGCAGCTTCTTGCATGCTCCTTCGTGGTTCCAAGAGCAGGATCTGCTGAAACACCTGAAACATCGAGACCACTTGAAGATATTGACCCCCTCCCAGTGGCGTCTCTTCTGCCCCCCTGCAGGGGTTCTGGACAGCTGTGCTGCTGCTTCTGCTGCTGCTGCTGCAGCTGCTGCAATTGTGACAAACCTCCTGCGAAAATTGCTGCACTGCCTGTGGCATCGCAAGTATCGGATTCCAGTGTATGTGCGGGGTACTCCAACGGCTGTGGAGGCCTCTGTTCGGTCGCTGCTGCTATCCAATCAGCAGGTGCTACCTTATGGAGGCCCGGCTATGGTCCCAAGCCAGCCGCTGCAGATATCCAGCATCAGCGACAACTACACAGTTTATATAAGGATCTGGACAAAGAGGGGCCACTTGGCGCAGTTGAGCTCACCTGGAGCAATTGGAGGGAAAAAGTGGATGTCCTGGAGATGTCATTCTTGCGATTGCGCGACACTCCAAACGTACATACCTTGATCGGCCTTAAAAGGCTGGAACTGTCTGAGAATAGACTGAGCAGCATACAAGTAAGTAAGGTGGCGATACCTGCATCATGTTAGAAACGCCATCGCTGCGGATAGATATCAAATAGATGTAAATCAATGCACTTCCGGCAAAACTTCGTCAGATCAGTCTTTAAGTCTGTTCTCATCCGAATGGCTTTTGCAGAGGGCCCACTGTGCTGCTTTGTTGAACAGCTACCCTGCAGCTCAACAGGAACAGAATGGGCTTGATGTTACGCGTTTTCTGCTATTACTGATTCTAACGACTGTACCTTCGTATGCTGTTTCTTTGCCTGTGAGGACTATTTTGACCCGTTTCTTGTACTAATGCCAGCGCGATCATTTCAGGGCATTCTGGGGCTGCGCCTTTTGGAAGAGCTTCTCCTCGATGGGAACGAAATTCAGAGTCTTGAAGGGATTGAGTCACTGTGTCACTTGGAGTGTTTAGACATTTCTCACAACCGCATTATTTCCTTTCCGCCAGGGATGCAGCAGCTCAAGCGTTTGGTATTCCTCTGTGCGGAGGGCAACAAACTGCAGCAACTAGAACATTTGCAAGGACTCCCAGCGCTTACGCAGCTGTACCTCAACAGCAACAACATTCAAGGCTTTCGGTAAGTTAACATCGTGATTCCGCAACTTGATCGCTCACATTGGAATAAGCTACACTCCAATGCACTTATTATGGTTTATTTTCATATACTTTGAATCCGTTTCACTCGGCAGGAATTACCAGCAGGTGATGAGAACGTTGCAATAGCCATTCGCTGTCATTTTGAAACACTTGGAAACGTGCCCCTGCTGCTCATGCGTCGGTTTCCGTGCAGACCGCTAATGCACCTTTCCCGCTGTCCGTGCCTCCGTGTGCTAGACCTGCGCAATAATCCATTAAGCAGAGAAGCAGAATATCGGCCCTATACCCTTTATCTCCTTCCAACGTTAAAAGTCCTAGATGGAGTTGAACCAAAACAAGAAGAGACAGCAGAAGTCAGACAAGAGTTCGCAGGAAGGCTTACAAGAGAACTGTTGGAGCAAATAATAGGAGCCCCACTGCCTTGCCTCGAAGCGTCCGTATATATAACGTTCCACAAAAATGCATAGAAACGGGTGCATGGAAAGTTCAAAGACTTTTGAGCTCTACAGCTGCATGGGCAGGCCATTATGGTAGTGCTCAAACACGACTGGTTTTACCTACGGGGCTATCAGCGTGCCAAAGTGCCGTTAGCGGACAACGCAGTAAAAGGAGATTGTGTATATTCCAAGGTCTAGAGAAATAAATGGTGTAGATATGTTACAAGCCTGAGCTTCAGCAACAGCGTACAAGTGTATGCTTTGCCACTTCGGGCTCCACCGACCTTGTCCTGTGTTTCAGTGAGCTTTATCCGCTTTTTTGGCATTGAGTGCATTTTGCCAAACGGTCAATATTTGTAGCTTGGTTGCGTTGCCATGGAGACTTCAATTTTCGCCTGCAATAATCCACGGCACATCTTCCTGTGCATTTTATATTCCCAGCTCAATCGATCTGTCCGGTCACCGCCTCCGTCGCATCTCGGACGTGATTAAAGAGGAGAATTTTCCGTTTTTACTGAGCATCGATTTAAGCCAAAACAAAATTACGAGTCTGGCCTCATTGGGAACTTTACCCCTACTGAGGGTTAGCCTTTTGAAATTTTGATGAACAACGTCCAGACGAACGAACCCGAACTCAGAAAGTCATACACCAGAAAGAGTAAGAAACTGGTTTCGCTCGTGTCTGCTGTTTGCAGGAACTAGTGGTAGCGCACAACAAGATCGACCTTTCAGCAGGAGGCCTAGGAGGGGTAGACGGACCAGGATTGCTGTCACTGCCATTACTCGAGGTATACCTGCCTACATATAACCGAGTCGACGGATTTGCATGTGCATCTCTACATCAGATACAGAGTAACGTTCTGCTTCGTGACTCTCTCCGCTGCGTTGTTTCGCGTGTTTGGCTACAGCGTTTAGATCTAAGCCACAACTCACTGCGCAACTTGAAGGGCTTGGCAACAGCACCGCTCGAAAATATCCGAGTACTCCAGCTGAGGGGAAATGGCCTCTCAAGGAAAGAAGGACTTCTCAACTGCTCTCATCTAGAAGTTCTTGACTTGAGCGATAACAGGATCAGAAGGATTGACCCTGACGGTTTTCAGGGTGTGACTGAAACGCTCCGTTGTTTAGTAATGGAAAGGAACGGATTGAGGTATTCTTTTTCCACTCCAGCATCAGTGTATCAGTAAAGGCATGCCGAAACTTGCCGCCGAGATCTCTCCAAACCCCAAGGTAGAGTAGCGTAACAATGACGCGCAAAGCAAACAATTAGCCCAGCAATTGAACAGTTTCGTGTGACCGCAATTGTCTCTGCATACCTCAGGTCGCTTTGCGGCCTCCCGCTTTTACCCAATCTTGAGGAGTTGCGAATTGCACAGAACAGAATACCTGACTTTACGCAGATCGAATACCTTGTTCAGCTACCCAAGCTAAAACAAATTGGGTGAGCAGCTAAGCGTTTCCGCCACACAATCAAAGGGGGCTATACAAGTCTTTGCTGCATATCAGTGTTACGCGGTAGCAGCACATGCGAATTTATACTTCTGCAAATGGGATCCAGTCAACTGAGTGGCCAAACAGACGTAATTCTGCATCCAGTCAAGCACCGAAATATTTGAGACCAGTCCATATCACAAAGGCATTACCTCTCTGCACTTTTCAGTCGGCTCGCCAAATCTACGCATCCTACTCTGCTGGAGCTTTACATTATTTGCGCAGATTCCAGCAGAACCCTGCATGTCAGCGCCGTCATTGGCGTGCTGTCCTAGCTGAGCAGCTTCCTCAGCTGCAGACAATCGATGGTGATATCATATCACTAGAAGGTATTCAGAGGAAACTGCCTGTAGGACAAACTGAAGCACTGCCTGCTCCTGAAGAGCTGCTACACCCTGTATCTAGATCTCTTCATGACGAACCAGGGTCATCAGGCGTATTCCCTCAACAGCAGGCGCTGGAGCATCAGCAGTTTCTTCTGCATCAGCAACTTCAGCTGTCGCACCCCACGAAATCGACAAAGGGCCGCTCGATCGTGCAGTCAAAGCCTGAAGCACTCACGCCTGGAGGACTCCAAAAGAATAGGCAGCCGCAGACTGTACCCGAGGTTGTCTCCCTTAATCTTGGCATTGTGGGTACAGGCGCCCCAGGGATTTCTCCCAATCCTGCCGGAGTTTCCTTGTTGTCTCGCCGCGACACTCAACCGGAAACTACAGGTATATAGATATCTAGGGGGCAGTTTTGCTACTTCACGGAGATTCGAGCGTTAGCTGCACTAGTTAATGACGGGATCAAAAGTGAAGAGATTGTGCATCAGCGAATAGATCAGTGCCGATGGCTTCAAGAGCCATCATCGCTTTTTTGCCGTCTTACTTCAGGAATGCAGGGAATTGTGAGTAATAAGGGCCATAGAGCAGTTAGCCGAAGCCTGTTAAAAGTCAACCGCTGCGGAACCACCGACGATCGCCAGATGGCTTCGCAAGCTGGCGTTTTGACTAAAAGTGAACTGTGCGGTGCAAACGTGGACCGATACACGAGGAGCAGCAGCACTGACATGTGTAGTGCCCTTGCGAGTTGCTATTCCCCAACGGCTCCCTATCTGTCAACACTACAGCAGCACGAATCCTTTGACACGCCTTCTGAAAGCAGGTTCCAACGCTGTCATGACCCAGCTAGCATGGGTGGACCTGCACAGAACACCAACATTGGATGCATGCAGCTACCTTCGGTGTTACAGGGACTTTGCCTTCATACAGAAGGCGATCGCGGACAGTCGAAAAACGCCCGGCTTACTGTGCCATTAAGCCGGCAGAGGAAGATAACTGGTTGAATTCAAATTTCACGAATTGTTTTGCATCTTTGCGTGCGACTAGTTCCGTAACTTTTCCGTTTCACTGACTTTCCATCTTCAATTTAATGCAATTTTCTGTGTAATTAGAAAGCCACGAAGAAACAGCTTTTCGGTCCACGCTGCGTCAAGTGGCAGCGGCTAAGTAAGGCAAATAACTCCGCAAAATGCTTTCATTTTTGCATGCAGTTGCTGATTGTGGAAACTTGTAAGCCAGGCGATCAAATGCGCAGGGCCTCTGTGTCCCATAGAAGCAGATTGATAAGAACGAAGTTTTGCACTTTTGGCCTTCAAGGAGTTTCTCATATTCCTCGTGCAATTAATGAGGCCCCCGTTTGCCAGAGCAAACACCATATCCAACGTTCCATTCCGCATCTTGGCGTTCGTTATTTTCTGCTTGCTTTTACTTTTTCAAGCGACCACACTCTTGGACGCATCGACGGCTATACGAAAGATAAAAAGCTTTTCATCGCACGTGCTGTCTAAGAAACTGTCGCTTACTATGCCTTGCCCACAGCGACATTGGCTGGCAACAGTCGCAAGGGCGCAAGTTCAATCAACGTAGGCTACTCGACCGTACTATTACCAAAAGCGCCTACGTTGCTGCCCAGAGGGCAGCACATAGGAGCCAAGCCGGGCCTGTTGCATCGGACTAGGAACATTAGGCACCAGCTACAATTACTATGGCCTCCAGTAACAAAAGGCTACGGCAGCGCGACGTAGACTGTCCAGCAACGTTAGACTGAGTTCAAGCTGCTGGAGTACCGCTTTGCACTGTAGATTCAAGCTGTATAAGCCATCAAGATCCTGTGAGTCGGCTAATATCTTTGTTGCATTCGAGGAACTGCCAGAGGCTGGAGTACAAGGCTCAAACATAGCAGGACTCAAAGCATGTGCGTCACGTTTCGCAGTCAAAATCCGTGTAGTGGGCTCACTGATACATTTCAGCGGTCATAGTATAAAATTGTAATGATGCATGTCTCATGGTGAAACACTAAGTGATACAGTACACGCAGTGTACGGAAATGCTTTCATGTGGTCCACAAGTGTCCAAACTATGAGTGGGAAATCTACTGCAGAATTCTGACACGAGCAGTTTTGACGATTGTACCTTTTCCTTGGCTGTGGGCAAAGCCATGATGTTGCTGCTGCCAGCAGCTCAGATGCTCTGTAGGCTGCACGGTCCGTCAAGGAAAAAGAAGGCAGTTCTATAGGACGTGAATTTAACTACATCACCGTGGTATTACTAAAAGCGCCTAAGTTACTGCCAAAACGGCAGTCACACTGGGAGCATTAGCGGCCAGCTAGGAATACTATGGGCTTTAGCTATAAAAGACTACTGCAGCGCTACGTGGAGCGTCCAGAGGCTTTATACTGACTAAGGCACACGCTAGCTATCATAGGTGTGAAGACGCGGACTCACTCCTCTTCGTACGATGCTTATGGTAGAAACAGGAGAATTGCATAATTGTGTCCTTAACGAACTTCCCTTGGGCCTGTGGTGGGTCTTTTTCGTGCAACGCCTTTATCTGTGCGATATTACGCGCACACCAGTGCAACGGATATTAATACACAGAGAAGAAGAATAGGTGCCATTTCCAGATATCTCATGTTACAACAGCTTGACAGTAGCAGCCTCGATTTTGCGCTCTTTCTCCAAGCACTCAAAGAGATTAAATAGTCAAACCAGTCCCGACTTGTATTTTACTTACTGCCGCGACTGGAATTGATTTAAGGGATCCCACAAGAGCACCGAGCTCCCTTGATAAACTTCATCATGCCCCTGCCAATGGGTTATTACTGGCCAGCCTGGTGTTTCTGTCGTGGTGCATGATCCGCTCCTATACGGAGCTAACTAACGCAAAAGTTTTCAGAGAGCTCCCGCGTGAATGAAGCCATATATCTGGGCTCTCAGAGATATTAACTAGGTCCTAGAGCTATACTGTGGGGCGTCAAAATCACCATTAATATAAATCGGAATATGCCTGCCTCGAGCTAAATTTATGAGGATTCATTAATATATTGTTGGGTTGTGTGAGCTTCTGGAATAAAATGAACCCGTTCATAAAAGACAAAATAATCTACACAGGAGCTCTTGCAAACATACGCTGGCGCCGACGGGTCTTCTTCACGTATGCGGTCTTCTTGAAAGTCATAGATAAACTTAGGTTTTTAAGGCTCTAGATGAGGTGAGGAAGCAGTGCTGTGCTGTAAGAGGTCCACAAGGGCTTGAACAACGATAGGAATTGCAGATTCGAGGTTTGCCAGGGAAGACGCAGTGTTTGAATAACTGACATCGCATCTCCAACTGAACTACCTAAAATTTCCGCCAAATTACAAGTCCTGTGGTAAATTTTGTCCTTAAACACATTTGCATTCCGGCAGTCGTGAGCTTTTTTGGGATTCGAAGACGTCTCTGGCGGTATTTCGTACCCTTCGACCCCATTCATACAGCATTAACTTACGCAAAGTGTCACGATCTTCGCTACTCTATTTGAAAAGCATTGGAAGTGAACCTTTCAGCAGAGCAATGAATGCCGTTCCACTTTCGATCACTGCGCTGCCACGGTGTCACCGAGACTCGAGGAGGGACTGTCTTCAGTCCGTTACTAGACGTAAGGTACGGTAGAGGCAGAAAGTACGTCGTAGTTCCTCACATACAGATGCATGATGCACAGAAAGACGGTCTGGAGAAATATCAAATGGTCATTAGGAGGATGCTTTGCCAAATTTATAATCGCTTACTGGAGACTCAGTGGCTTCATCAGGAAGAGGAGGAGGAAACCCAAACTGCCAGCTTCTGCAATACCAAGCGTTTCTGTGTGCATTTGCTTTGATGCCAATTACTCTCTCATCAAGCTACGTGAAATACAGACTACAGACTAAGCTTACGATTTTTCTCTTGTTCCACGGCTTCCAACAGCAAGGGTAGCGCTAACTGATTCCCCCATAGCATTCCTGACTGCGTGGTTAATCAAAAGAGGCTCTCTACTGAAACTTGCTTAGATAGTGTGCCAACGTGTGGCGAGGAATGCCCAACCTCAGTTGAAGGCGGTGCCAAAAGAACTTGGGTCATAGAGTCAACGAAGACACTGTCTGACATGTTCACACAAGAGTTCCGTGTGTTTTTCCTTGGTTTTTCAATCTCCACACAGACAGCCTCTGTGAATTTGTTCGAATTGTCCTAAATACCGCATAAGCAACTGAAGTCAAAATAAGGGTGCTGGTATTGCAAGGAGCATATATGAAGCTTGCAGGAGAGCTCAAATTTCCGCCGATTGTAGACCGCAGCTGTAGCATCAGTGTTGGAAGCGTCCTAGAACAAAGACATGCAGATTTTAAGGCCCTGCCAACCGCGAGATCAAAACGCTCAGTCTTTAACCGATATACAGGCTCATGTCGACGGACTGTGCAAGAAGCGTCTGTATCCGTATGGGTTATGTACTCGCAGATTAGGATTCGTATGGAAACGCCACATTCCACACCGACGCCACTTCGCAGTTTTAACCGCTCAGAGGCATTAGCTTTTCATCCAATCTATGCAAGTCTAAAAAAACTACTGATGAAGTGAGGCTGAAAGCAGCTTTAGTACACTGCTATATCGAATATATGCTAGTTGATTTTTCCCACGGAGGGACCTTATGTCCCCATGCATATAGCTTGTAGTGAGCCAAATATCTGTGCAGCCCAGCGCTCTCCATACAGTAAGGAAGAGGCCTAAAATAAAGCGTTTAACGTCGTAGCTTCACGTGTCGTGCTCAGCAAGGGCACCTGGTATCTTTCACTGTCTCTTTTTTCCAATTACATGTAAACTTACTGTATCGCGGGCAACGGCTTGACAGTCCTCAGCGTTCGGCAACACTAGCAGCGCGGCCACGCTGTGTGGAGAGATATCCTCACCGCTGGACATAGGACATCGGAATTCCTCTTGTACCTTAACGACAACACAAGCTGAAGGATTCTGTGTCAGCCTCATCTGGGCAGAGCCCCCTGATTCCGCTGGTCGCAGCCTACGTGACGGTGTATAATTGCGGAGAAAAGGCACCGCAGCGGATACTTTTTCTCATCATAAATGTGCTGAGACGCATAACATTAAAAATGTGTCTGCCTAGGGAACACGGAGACTAGCAAGATAGAAACTAAAGCTGTGAAGCGTCGCGGATGTTTGACGCACTCTGCAGTGATGTTACCGCGAAAGCACTACACATGTCTTATATGCTCACATATATATAAAAGCCAAGCAGCCACGCGTTTCGAGCAATCAGTGACGTATGAACTGTACTTCTCAAGACTTCGAAAAAAAAAAGATCAGCTTTGGAACGTGCGACAATGTGGCTATGATGGAGGATTCCCGACCTTAGCACTCATGGTGAACG